ATGCACGGTTGCTCGCACACGTGCGTGTAGGCGTGCATGGTGTGCAGTGGCCATTTGGAGCCCGTTTCAGACAAAACTTTCCCGGTTCACCCCTGGGTGGTCCGTACTCAAATACTACGACCTACATCATCAATATAAGCCTAGAAACAGTCGAAATTCAGTGTATTACCTACAACGGAGTCCGGGTTAGCACGTGCATCTCCTTCAGTCATGGCATAGACCCTCGCTTGGGCCCCGCCTTGGTTTACGGACGCGGCATGGCTCGTGGATGCGCTGCCTCTTCCTGTGCCGCCGTGTGACGGTCCTGCACGGTTCCTCCCCGCCACGGTTCCCCCTTCGGCCCCCGAAGCGTTCCCTTGCGCCAATTGGGGGCAATTAGCTTTCATATGCCCCGCATTCCTGCACTTGAAACACCTCGGTGGTTCATTGCACTTCCCAAAATGCTGTCTAGTTCAATTGGGGCATCTACGTGCCCCCGAATTCTGTGGCCTAGGTCCGTGCCACCTTGCATCTTTATTTTTTTTTTGTCGGCGGCGCCGGTGGTCTAAATGAACCACCCCCGCTGTGATTGTTCTTCCGGGAATGATCGGGTTGCCCCGAATTATTCCATTTCCTCTTTTTCGCCTCCTCGACATCCCTTTCCTTCCTCTCGTTCCACTAGGTCTTGCCGAGCATACCCTGCTCCACCACCCCACTAAACGTCATGTGACATGAGTAGGTGGCCCGATCACAGATGTCCAAAAGCAAGGCATCCCAAAAGTGCTCTGTCATGCGGTCCTCATCGGCCGCATGCTGATGCACACTAATTAATAGTGCATAATTACATGTTTTTATGTTAGATTTATTTTGATTGTTTGACGTTTTATTTAGTTTGTAAACATTTATGTGATTTCAGTTGTAATTGTATTTTAGTCTTTATTTGTATGAAAAATTGACAAGAATAATCCCACCTTTCACTGGTCTTCTCATAATAATCCCACCTTTAAATAATCCCAAAATAATTTCACTTTTGCACCTCATCTTCTTTCATTGGACCCTGACCATGTTTTTTACTCTTTCTTTGAAAATTATATAAATAATCTCACCTTTCACTTTTTAATTATATCCTTATAAATGTGAGATTATTTATATAAGATTTTTAAAAAAGGTAAAAATACTTGGTTAGGGTCCAATGAAAGAAGATGAGGTGTAAAGGTGGGATTATTTTGGGATTATTTAAAGGTGGGATTATTATGAGAAGACCAGTGAAAGGTGAGATTATTCATGTCAATTTTTCCTTATTTATAAGTTGTAAAGTATAGGTAGGATTTGTGGTGTTGGAAAGGAAGACTTTGAAGAGAAGAAAACAAGAAATTTGACTGCCCAAGAGTGAAACCCGACCGGGTAGAAACCCCCCACCCGGTCGGGTATGATATAACAGACGAAATTGCCAAGAAAATCACTGGACCCGGTCGGGTCCCCTACTTGACCCGGTCGGGTCAGATGTGACCCAGGACAAAACGACGTGCGAAGATCACCAGAACGTGGCAGATTATCTGATTTTGACCGGACCCGGTCGGGTACCCGGCCAAAGGTGTTGAAAAACACCTATAAATAGCACACTTTTTCTTCTCTAAAAATCACCCCTTCTTCTATACTCCTGAGCTCAGTTTAGAATAGCATTTCTTATATTTTTATAGCATGTTTAGTCTCCAAATGAGGAGCTAAACTTCCATTTCTTGGTTTTGCTCTTGAAGATTGTTGATTAATAAAGTTGTGAGTTATTTTCTTAACTTCTTCTCTTGATTATTAATTCTTCCCTTAATCTCATTCTATATTAATGTTGGAGGGTTGCTAAGTGACGATTAGTTAACGTTCCGACATTAATTACTACTAGAAACGATCAACGAACCGATGGTTAATCGTTGGTGGTTTCACAAGTAAGTAACTTCGGTTTATTAATGCACGGTCGTGGTTAATAGACTAAAGAGGGATCAATTTTGTTGGTTAAACCGAAACCGTTGTGTTAAGGTTATCAATCTCAATTGATTTCATCAAGGAGTTAAAAAAGATTGAATGCTACTATTATATCGGTATTCGACGTTGTTCTGTATTTGATTAATAGTAAGGGTTATTAATGAACGGTCGTTGTTAATAACTACCCTCGATGAATTGGAGATACTCCTCGATTGAGTATTCGAGAGGGGATAAGTTATAGATATAACAAGGATCGACTAAAATATATCAACAAGTGGAAAGTAACAAAGCCAAGTCCCTTTTATTCTTGAATTAAATCTCATATAAGTCGTTCATCTTAGTTTTTAATTTAATCAAATCATTCATCACTAAAACCCTCCTTTATTCACTAAAGTTTCATAAAAAGAGAATTGTTCCTTTCCCTGTGGATACGAACTCTACTTCACCTATACTACGTATAAGTGTTAGTATTGATAAATTATTTGGAGTGCACCTCACGACAAGTGCACATCACATGCTATTGGCATTACTCCCATCAGCAGGAACAGATCTAAAATTTCTAATCAAGGGGGGCGATTTTTTTCAAGAGTGTAGGGGGTGACATCTTTTCGCTAGTGTATCCATTCATCATCATTACCCCAGTGCCGCAAAGGCTCCCCCACCTTCGGTAGGGTAAGGGGGGTCGGATGTACGCAATCTTAACCCTAGTACATAGAGACTGTTTCCTGATGACCCATAGTGAAATCGCGTCGAAAGTCTCATGAACTGACTACTGCTTCATAACAAATATGTGAAGACTGCGTACATCCGACCCCCATTACCCTACCGAAGTAGTGATCCATTTTGCTTTATTCCATCATATTGCCAAGACAATTTTCGCTAGTGTACTGCGGAGATTTTTTTTTCTAGTGTAGCGGGGCGTTTTTTTTCTAGTGAGCCATTTTGCTTTATTCCATCATATTGCCAAGACAATTTTCTAGTGAGCCATTTTGCTTTATTCCATCATATTGCCAAGACATTTTTTTCTAGTGAGCCATTTTGCTTTATTCCATCATATTGCCAAGACAATTTTCGCTAGTGTACTGCGGAGATTTTTTTTCTAGTGTAGCGGGGCTTTTTTTTGCTAGTATAGGGCTCTGCGGCTATTTTTTATTCAAAATAGTTTCATTTATACATACACAACGACATTCTAAGTTTAGACAAAGAAAAAATAACTTTGATTTTATAGTTGAAATGCTCTAGAAAAAAGTACCGATACATTAAATCGTAAGAAATAGCAAACCAAAGTAAAGTTATTTGAAGATAAAGAGTTTAAAAGGTATGCATCCACCAATACTTTTTAAATAACTTTTGGCGTGATTATCTACATGAATCTTTATCAGAATAAAGAATTGGTTTTTGAACTACAGTTTTTGTCTAACAAAGAGGATATTCGTGAGCCATGATGGTTTTTCTTATTACTCCCTCCGTCCCATTAGATTTGCAAACTTTCTTTTTTTGGTTATCCCAAAAAACTTTGTCACTTTCTTATTAAAGCAACTCATTTGTGGCTCTGTACATTTCTCTCTCCTCTGCATAACTTTCAACCACACAATTTTTACTACTCTTATTTATCATCTACTTTGAACTTGACAAAGTTCACCGGGACGGAGGTAGTATTACAATAGTATGTATGGCATTTTTATTTTTAGAATAATATTATATTGCTGATTCATATATATGGTTCATATTATGTTTTCATTAATGCTAAAATAAGTTAAAGTTTATTATTTATGCAATACTTAATTTGTAGAACGTAACAAGTAAATGAATTGTGTAATTTAATGTCAACAAAAATTTATATTTTGGATTCACATTACATTATCTAAAGGGTTTTTTACAAGAATATTACCAAAATAAAACATATTTATATAAATATGACTATTCATTACTACAATGTGGTGTTGTGGTAACTTAAGCTCTAAACTTGAACATGAATTACTATGATTTCATTACTACTCTAGTCATTAGTCTTATTTTTGTAAATCATCTTTATTTTGGTCATATTTATGTAATTATTTCTTAAAAACTATTTAATTAGTATGTCTGATAGTTAATATCGTTTGATATTTTACAAAATTGAGTACTAATGATCTAATAAAGATAACTAAACATTACAAAACTAGGAATTTTTATATAATAAATATCCTAAGTCTTAAACAATGACCAGAGTTGTTCTATTGTTTATTTTCTTAAGTATGTAAATTATTTTAGACGTTTCTTCTTTTAAATCTCCTATTAAGTATTACATAATGTAAAGTTATATATTAATTTTGAAAACTAAAAGTTAAGGAGGACGAACACATATATATTTGATTAAAGTATGAAAATATTATATATATAATGGAGAAATTTGAAAATCCGTGGGGGCGGTCTCCCCGCCCCCTAAATCCATCCCTTCCATCAGCGTGTCTATAAAATTTTCAAATTGGAATGAAATACTTTTAGAAAAATGCTTGATGCACACATTTTGGTGTACACTTTTCGTAAACTCGTCTGTCTCACGCACACAGAATTATCTGTTCACAGACAATTTTATATGTGTAAGACAGACGCGAGTACTAAAAGTGTACATGAAAATGTGTATAACTTTTGGGTTTAACATCTCGGTATAACAGGGCATTAGTATTCCGGTCATGCTTTTAACCGGAATACTAAAAAGAAAAAAGCGAACGGATAACATTTCTGTGATCAGAGAGGTCTATTTTGGGTTTATCCTATCTACCCGGGCATGGAATTCGTGGCATAAAAAAGCAATGAAGAAAGCAGCAAAATCTTGGGAGTAGACTTGCCTTGCCTTTCCTACAGCAGCGCGTGGTTCAGTACTTTACTGTGGTGTAAAGACAAATTACAATGTCATCCTTAGTTGTGCAATCACTGATCACTGGCAACTTGCCAAACGTCCTCCTCAACACCACTTTCCTCTTTTCCGTCTTCTTCTTCTTCTTCTTCCACATCTCTCAATTTTACCTGCTCTTCTCCCCCGAGAGCTCGGACTCCCATCCCTGAACCTCAATTAAGCACTTAAATAAGTGTCTCCTCCATCAAGCCATGGCTTCACCTGTTCAAGAAAGTAAGTTAACTGTAATATTCTTTTTTATGCTCCTCTATGAGTCTGTAAAGGTTCTTTATGTTTCTGCCGCTTGAGCATAAGTAAAGGTCCCCTTTTTTTTTTCTCTGAATGTATTCTTCAGGAAGTTGAATGTGAATTTTGTTAGAATATATCTGTGAGCTTTATATATTTGAGGTGGAAAATAAAGTAATATTAAGTATTTATGCTTAGGATCTCACCATGTATAGAGACCTGGACATCATTTTTCTGGATTTCAACAATCTTTAGCTTTGATAAAAGTTATAACAATAGTCGAAATGAAAAAAGAACAAAAAAGGAAGAAGAGGAAAACGATCTGGGGGTTTCCTTGATGCTAGGAAAGAATAAATTGTTAAAGAAAATTAATTTGTGATGAATGGATAAACATTGAAAAATAACTTACAAAATCTTAAAGGTAAATAAATTTTACTTTTTTACTCTTTTAAGCATATATTAGGCTCCCTTCCGTAGCATTAGTCTGCTTATTCAGCTTATCAGCATAAGAACGAGTAGCTTTACACGTACTTGTATGGCTTAATTCGAATTTTCCAAATACCTTTCCTTTTGAAGAATTCAGCAGAGTAAGTTTTTCAGACCAAAGAACCATTACAAAACGAGCAATTAGATCTCTTAGCCTACGTAATAATAAATAAGTAGAGTTTGAAAAATATCTAGAATATTTTTTTCAGCCCAAGCCTATATGTTATTTTCCCCTAGTTTTTCCTTCCTTGCAATTTTCGTCTCTTTGGAGTTCCAGCCAGAAGCTTCCTTAAAGCAAAAGGCAATATTTAACAGTTCAGGAATCAAGCTTGTTTGATTTGTTACTCTTATGGTCAACAAGTCATTGTTTTAGCTTATTTATGCTTCTACAACAGATTCTCAGGAAGCCCATTTTGGTAAAAATGTGAAGTTTTCATCGTGTTTACTAATCAAAGAACAACTCAATTGTTTACCAGGTGATATTGACTTAGAGAAAGGTTCAATGATAACAACCCAAAATGGTCAGGGTGGGCAATTACCAACCCCGGCTCCCTCATCATCTGCCCCTGCCTTGGTCCTTTCAAACTCCGGGAAACGAATTGACCAAGCAGGGAAAAAGAAGTACGTGAAACAAGTGACAGGCAGACTCAATGACACAGAGCTTCATTTAGCCGCTCAAAAGGGCGATCTTGCAGCCGTGAAGCAAATTTTTGATGATATTGGTTCTCAAATGGTTGGAATGTTTAGTGAGGCCGAGCTGGAGAAAGAGGTGGCAGAGATTACGGCTTCTGTGATAAATGAGGTCAATGAGTTAGGAGAGACAGCACTGTTTACAGCAGCTGATAAGGGGCATCTTGATGTGGTAAAAGAATTGTTGAAGCATTCGAACAAGGAAACCCTCACTAAAAAGAACAGGTCGCTATTTGATCCTTTGCATATTGCTGCAAGTCAAGGACACCATGGTAAATATTTGAATTTTTTTCATTTGTTTTACTCCTTTACTTTTCCATTCACATTACTTCACGATGTGGATTTTACTTTACAATATCCATTTTACTGTGGGGTGATTAAATACTTTATAACAATTATTTCAACTCATGGCTTATCTCAATATATTTTTCATGCAAGTGTAAATAACTTATGATAGTGTGATCATGATCATTTTGGAATGTAGGATCCGTGTGGCAGTCTTCTCTGGCTTATTTTGTTTTTCTTTCCTGATTATCAGCAGAATTACAAAGACTTCTCCTATCAGCAAGTTCACTAAATTCAACAATTTCAGCCAAATGGCTCTTACCAAACTGCCTTTTATCTCATTGTTCTTTTTTGCATGGTTTGGTATAAAATATTACTCCCTCCGTTCCTATTAAAACTTCCAAATAGGTTTGGCACACAGTTTAAGATAGTGGCTATTGTGTGGTAGAGAGTTGTGCAGAGGAGAGATACATGAGTAAGAAATGTTGTGAACCACAAATTCTTTACTAAAAAGGGAAAATGGAAGTTTGAATTGAAACGGACGAAAAAGGAAAGTTGAAAGTTTATTTAGGAACGGAGGGAGTATTAGACAGTTGATGTTGAAGAGTTTATCCCAGAATAATTAAATATGAAACAACAAAACAACATACTCCCTCCGTCCCATTTTGTAAGATACATTTTCCTTTTATGGTTGTCCCAAAAATATGAACACTTTCCAAATAATTTTTTTAATCTTCCCCTCTTGCCCTTCCAGCCGTACACATAATTCTCGTGCCATTTATTAATTGATGGACCCATGCCTATTAATTCTTGTGCCATTATTAATTAGTGGGTCCAATATGTTCCTTTTACATCCTAGAATTCTTGTGCCAAATTGAATAGAATTGGTTCGAGCACTACTAGAGTTTAATAACGGAGTATATATTATAGACACATGAAAAGGCTGTAGCATAGTAGAATTAATTAATGACGAGTACTTCCTACCTTGCCGGTATAGAATTACGAGTATCGTGATGACGGTCCATGTACCCACCGAAGGGTAAAAAAGGAATAGTGGTAACATTCCGCTAATTTTATTAAAACTTGTGCAAAAGGTAAATGTATCATACTTTTTGGGACTGAGGGAGTATAAGATATTGAACTGCTCATCCTCCTATAAGGTTTATCTTTCCGTAGAACTTCAAGTCTTAATAATTGACAATGAGTCCCTTTACTTTTCAAAATAAAATTCTATTTCTCTGTGGTCCTTTTAGTTCCATAAATCTTTGACTTGATGCTAATTTAGTGTTTTAATCATGTATCCTAATCTTTTCTCAATCATGTTTTCTCATTTATTTCAGCCATTGTGCAAGTATTGTTAGACCACGATCCTGAACTAAGCAAAACAATTGGGCCTTCAAATGCAACACCCCTCATTACAGCAGCATCAAGAGGACACACGTCTGTGGTCAATGAATTGCTCGTAAAGGACTCGACATTGGTTGAAATTTCAAGATCCAACGGGAAGAACGCATTGCATTTAGCTGCCAGGCAAGGGCATGTAGATATTGTGAAGGCATTGCTTGAAAAAGATCCACAACTTGCAAGAAGGACGGATAAGAAAGGACAGACGGCTTTGCAAATGGCGGTGAAAGGGGTTAATTGTGAGGTTGTGAAATTGCTTCTCAATGCTGATGCTGCAATTGTTATGTTGCCTGATAAGAAAGGGAATACTGCTTTACATGTAGCAACCCGGAAAAAGCGCGTGGAGGTACTTTTTGCATTTATTCTCTTTCCTCCTTTATTTTGTTTAAGACTGGATGGTTGGGGGTTGTCATTCCAATTAAGGGTCTTTAAATTCCATTATAAATAAGAATTTAACTGCCTAATACTCCCTTCATTTTTTATGCTCCTTTAGTTTTTAAGGGCTTTAAGGAAAAAATTGTAGGCATACTGAATTGTAGGAGCGAATAGATAAAAAAAAGGAAAATAAGATGAGAAAGTAGTAATATTTATGTATTTTGGTATGATGTTTTTTCCAAATAAGGAATGAACCGCAACAACAACATCTAAGCCATATTCCAAAACAACATAAGGAAAGAACAACAACTATTTAAAAAAAATTCAAAAAAAAAAAGATGAGAAAGTAGTAAAAAAAAGGGAAAATAAGATGAGAAAGTAGTAATATTTATGTATTTTGGTATGATGTTTTTTCCAAATAAAGAAAGAACATCTAAGCCATATTCCAAAACAACATGAGGAAAGAACAGCAACTATTTAAAAAAAAATCAAAAAAAATAGTGCTGAGTATTGAACAACTAATAAAAACAACGGATGGAGTATCGTGTTTATCAGCTTGTCTATTTTTGTACCTATATGAGCATGCCATTGTAATAGGCTTTGTTTGGTAGTGAATTCTGACTTATTTTTTTAATGAAATTTATCTGGCTTGAAACAGATGTCAACAAACTTTTTTCCGTTTAAAAAATTCAGTAGTCAGAGAGAACCATTACCAAACCGACCCTTAGAAGACTATTACTTCAAGTCTTATTCATACAATGAACATGGATGAAATGAACAATGGCTCCTGAAACCATGTTGAGATAGAAAATGAGACTATTGTTAGTCTTTGCAAGATTACAATGTCACATGCTTATACATAGGTACAAAAAGCAGACTATGTGCCCTAAAACCCTGCCCTAAATACAGTGCACTACATACCTGATCAAAGATGTGACCCCTCAAACAAACGCTTGAAGCTGATAGTTACACATACCTCACATTTGATACTTCTCAAAATCGATTTCAACCTGCATGCAGATAGTGAACGAGATGCTGCGCCTTCCTGACATGAATGTCAATGCTCTGACCAGAGACCACAAAACAGCGCTCGACATCGCAGAAGACCTCCCCCTCTCAGAAGAATCCTCAGAAATAAAGGAGAGCCTCTGCCGTTATGGTGCGGTCAGAGCCAATGAGTTGAACCAACCAAGAGACGAGCTAAGGAACACGGTCACCCAGATTAAGAAAGATATTCACACCCAGCTAGAACAAACCAAGAGGACCAACAAGAACGTCCACGGCATTGCCAAGGAGCTCCGGAAGCTCCACCGTGAGGGGATAAACAATGCCACAAACTCGGTCACCGTGGTGGCTGTCCTCTTCGCGACGGTGGCCTTCGCCGCCATCTTCACTGTCCCCGGCGGCGATGACGACAATGGGATGGCCGTCGCCGTGGCCCATGCCTCCTTCCAGATCTTCTTCATCTTCAATGCCGTAGCCCTCTTCACATCCCTTGCGGTGGTGGTGGTTCAGATCACGCTGGTTAGGGGGGAGACGAAGGCAGAGAGAAGGGTGGTGGAGATCATCAACAAGTTGATGTGGCTAGCTTCCGTGTGTACCTCCGTGGCGTTCATGGCTTCTTCTTACATTGTGGTGGGGAGGAAGTATGAGTGGGCTGCAGTGTTGGTTACTTGCGTGGGCGGGACCATAATGACGGGGGTGCTCGGGACAATGACATTTTATGTGGTGAGGTCTAGAAAGATTAGATCAACAAGGAAGAGAGAGAGGAGCGGTTCAAACTCATTTCTTCACTCTGAGTTGTCTAATTCGGATATTGACCGGATTTATGCCATCTAAGAGTAATGAGACTACTTGGTGACTGTTTAGAATAAGAAGTATGTACCAATTGGCCAGGGACGAAGGATCAAAGGGCTTTCTTTTGGAATCGTTCTGATGAATTAACCTTAACATGTTTAGCCAGCCATGCGTAGATGAGAGATAATGGCTGTCTGCTGTCTCATATTTTTACTGCTCTGAAATTTTCAAAAACCTACTGGAATGCCTCCATCAAGAGAAGGCATGCAGAACTATTGTTTTGTAACATACTCCATATTAACTATCAAGTTTCAAGCTCAGAGATCATGCATGTTTAATAATTGGCAACTTGTGTGTTAAACCGAGAATGATATTGTACAATACTGAGATGTCAGGTTTCTGCTATTAGTTGCAAACTTGCAAATGCTGGAAAGAGAACATTCCTTAACGTGAAAAATGAGAACGCTCCAAAATGCACATTTATGTTTAAACTTTTGCACAGTTGAAATGCACATTTTCCAATTTTTGTTATGCACATTTATGTTTTATATGACGCACGATTTCTTTTCTAAGATATATTCTCATATGATCCCTACTCGGTGGGGAGAGATGGGTGGTCGATGGAGAAATGTGTAAATATACCCCTGAAGTATATGCAGAGGTACAAATATACAATGAACTTCTAAAAGGTGCAAAAACACCCCTAATGTTCCTATAAAGGAGCAAATTTACCCTTATAGACATTAAACAAATAAAATAAATTTGCGAAAAACAAAAACAAATTATAAACTGAATTTTTGAAATTGAAAAATAAAAAACTAATGAGTTAAAAAATAGAGATTTATTTTTATTTTTAAAAATTAACTCTTTAATTTTAAATTTCAAAACTATTATTTTTCCTCTTATACAAATTTTATCCTTGTTGCGAAATTTCGAACACATGGTTACATTTTTTGAAATAACATTCTTTAGTTTTGTTTAAACTTAATAAAATTAAATTCATTATTTTGTAATCTTGGACTATTTATCATCATACACGGTATGTAATTTTAGTGCAAAGAATACAAAAAATAATTTTTTAATATTGCAACACATATATTAACACTTCTCCAAAAGAATCATAAATATATAGTAAAGTTGTGAAACAAGTTTTTATACTAACAATACTAAAAATAATAAAAGGGGGATTGGACACAATTAGATTATTTTTTTCAATTTCAAATTTTGAATCTATAATTTATTTTTGGTGTTTTTCAAAATTTATTTTATTTATTTAAAGTCCCCTACAATTTCAAATTTATTTAAAATTTATTTATTTATTTATTTTATTTAAAATTTATTACTTAAATAAATAATCTACAATTAGATTATTTATTTGTTCCTTTATAGGAACACGAAGATATTTTTGCATCTTTTATAAGTTCAAGGGTATGTGTGCACCCCTATATATATATATATATATATATATATATATATATATATATATATATATATATATATATATATATATATATATATATATATATATATATATATATATATATATATATATATATATATATACTTCAGGGGGTATATTTGCATCCCCCAATGTATTTTGTATTACAGATCATAATGTACTCCGTATTATACTTTGTAATATACTTTTTTCTTATGTAAATTATGTGTTAGGGCAGATCTGACTTAAGGACAAGGAGAGCCCATGCCTACCCTAAAAAACATTATTTAGTACTTCCTCTGGTTCTTATTTAAGTTCTTAGTTTGACTTCACACATATTAAGAAAATGAATTTGACTTTACTGTGGAGTGCACCGTTTGGCACTGTTTGGCACTGTTTGGCACTGTTTGGACATTTTTTGACACTGTTTGGCACTGTTTTGCATTGTTTTGTTTCCTAAAATGGAAGTGTGAACTTAAATAAGGGACATCCCAAAAAGGAAAGTGGGAACTTTAATAAGAACCGGAGGGAGTACATAATATAGACTTATAGAGTACCGTTCGTGTCGGCCACTCCTAACTAGAATTGTCGTGCAGAAAAGCCCATTTGAGGTGCTTTTGAGTGATATTTTTTAAAGAAAATTTGTGAGCATGTTCACCGGAATTGTAGATTATGTTCAAAAAAAATTAACTTAAAATTCAATCGAAAAGTAAGTTAAATAAATTATCAAAAAACATTGTGCTTATAAAGACGGTGTGCACCATTAGGACATCTGCAATGGGAGGGTGAATTTTAGTGATGTGGCATATGAGAGTAATAGAGATAGAATGAATATTTTAATTTAATATAGGTGAAATGGTGTGTGGGAAAAAGTGAAAAAGAGGGTACAGATAGAGATAAAATGTAGACCTAGCTCAATGACAAGTTCCACAAATGAACCTTGCACGAGATTCGAGAAGGAAAAATAGATGAAAAGTGGGTTAAAAGTGATATAAAAATGAAAATGAATAAAAAGTAGGAAATACGTGAGTCTTACACATAAAAATTGTGAGATAAAAAATGGGACCCATGTGTAAGATTGTGTAAGGGACTACACCTTTGCATTGGAGATGCTCTTTGTCGCCGACATCTACCGACTTGACATTGGATGGAGGTAAATCCTACTCCCTCTGTCCCTCAATTAAGATACCGGTTTGACTTCACACGCATTAAGAAAATAAATTTGACTTTACTGTGGAGTGCACTGTTTTACACTGTTTGACACTGTTTTGCACTGTTTGACACTGTTTTGATGTAGATAATTTGCCAAATAAGGAAAGTAAAGAAGTGTGAACTTAATTTAGGGACTGCCCAAAAAAGAAAGTGGTATATTAATTGGGGGACGGAGGGAGTATTATTCAAGCAATTGAGGCAGATGAAGTACAAAATATATACGGAGTATATAATGTAGGAACTTGATAAGAATGACAAGTTATTTATAAAGATTTGAAATTTCAAATTTGAAGTATAGCCCCTTCTCCACCCATGCCCCTAGCCCCACCTTCCCGAAATTTCAACTTTTGGTATGATATAGCCCTTATAGTTGGCAGGGCCAGGGCCATGGGCAGGCAGGGGGCGTTAAATAATATTAAGACACTCCATTCTAAAAGGTGGACATGATAAAAGCTGAGCATGGTAGTATTCTATTTTAAACAAATATCGACACATTTTGTGGCACAACATGCATCGTCAAACATGATCCTAGTGACCACTCGACCCGACCCATTCCCACCCATGTGGTAATGCCCCTACTTGAGAGAACTTCTGGATCCGCCACTATCTGTTGAGTTTAAGTTGGGATTGAGTAGCTCATGTGAACTTTAGGAACTTCGAGACAATATTAAGACACTCCATTCTAAAAGGTCACAGTGTAACTCAGCTTCTCATATGTTTGGTTTTATCTTTATATTTGATCAGTATGGAACATTGACGATTCAAAACAGTGAGGAGCAATTTTTTGTTTTCCATCATTTTTTGTTGAGAGGCATGGCAAAAGAACATGAGATGAGCTTATTTTGTGCTTCCCAAGATCACTTGACCGCTGCGGAGAGATCATTTCTAAGCCCTGGGGAGATTCTCTGGTGTTTTTACAAGACCTGAACACACATGTAATATGTATGATGAGAATCCATTTTATTCAATGTTTTTGCTAAAAATGAGCTGTCTACCTTTGGCGGAAGTTGGAAGGAAGGGCTCGCTGCAAAAAGGAACTAGAACAGCACATGCTGGACTTAGTTGCATTATCTGTTAACTCATTGTTGCTCTGCAATGTAGAGAACAAAGAACAATATCGATTAGTTAAGGGAATATCTATTAAGATTTTAGTTTAACCTCACAAAAGTCAAATAATTCAAACAAAGACCTGCCTTGCATTTATGGGACCTGTGAACCCCTGCAACTTCATCATCTGGTTCATTTTTTCTTCTTTCACTAATGAGTGCCATTGCACACTTGCAGATGAAGAACATAAGCACCACTCCAAGAGAAACCACAAAAATGAATTCAATAATAATTGATGTACCTATAGCTGTGCACCATTATAATAAGCAGTATTTTATTATTAAAAAGGGAAGTTATACCAGTGGGAAATGTTGAAAGACTTTGTACCAAAACTGATTTGAAGGTAATTTGGGCACATTTTACCTTTAGACAGAAATGCATTCAGTGGTCTTCTTCTTACCAGATTTACTGTGGCCTCTACATATAAAGGCATCGACATCATACCAGCACAGTCTGGATAGCACCCATAGTTCCCCATATCATTTACTGTCAAAGTCAAAACTGCGCCATCTTTTCCCTGTATAAGAGGAGTAGAAAATAAACTTATTCATCAGAAAAGCATAATTAGTAAATTGTCTCTTCAGTGCTTTCTGTTGAGAACGAAAGTTTCTGATATGATTCAATCCAAAACCTTATTAACTCATATATTGTCATCTTTATTTTCTGATGTAACTCTAAAACCCCCTCACATAGGGGACCATAACATGTTCTAATACCTTCCATAGTAACACTCAGAATTAGCTGGGGGTCGTTCAACTAGTTCGTAAGGCATTTCAGTCAAACCACACTAAAAAGATTCAATCAAATGATTCAAATTATTATCTCGTTCAGCCCAAAGTTTTATTATCACATCTTTCTTTAGTTTTCCTATGCATGACTCCTCTAACAGTTTCCAAATGCATGCATACATGGTAAACTAATTGCTCCATGATAGTGTTGCAGTCATCAAGTGTTGCGCGAAATCTAATGCCTTTCGCTTTAATGGTAAAGTGTTTCGAGATGGTCACAAATGTCTGGACAGGTTGCCACTGATAACTAATCTTCAGCTTCAGTTCTGTATTGCTAATAAGCTCAGCTGGAAGGTTTAAAGACAGTATTCCGGAGCTGACTTCCATGCTACAAATCACCTGAAACTGGGACTTGTTCCCTACATATATAAGATGAACAACTAAAATCCTAATAAAAAAGAACAAATACATAACATTCATTAACTTTAATTTTCAAAGGAAAAGTTTCCTAAATATCACTAAATGAATATCCATTGAAAAAAGAACTATATTCTAATTTGCGAATTTACATGTTAGCAACAGCCAAACCAACACAGTTATCAACACTGGCCAGTTGACTTTTGGCAACTGCGTTGGTAACATCTTATTCCTTAAGTTTAAAAAAATAGTTACAATCCTGTCTTGGTCAATTGACCGTGAGTGATTGCAATAATAACATTTCTGTCCTAAAATTGAAAATTATCGTTGTCTTATGGGGTATTTAATTTAGTACTACGTGATATTTAACGAAAAATTGCTTGTAAGTTGTGGTTCGTATACGCTCTCACAATGCAAATTCATCAAAGTATGTGTCTTTCTCATCTTCCAAGTCATACCAGGAAAGTTTAGTGCATCTGGGTCCCCAATGAAAACATCAAACTTGTCTTTTTGAGAGTCGAAAACTAGTTCTTCATCAACACTTTGATCCAAGAAAACATATGGAGGGACGTTTATGAATGGAGGATCATTGATAGGCTCCACATATATCGGGATATCTAAATCATTCTTCCCGTTTCTGTTTCTAGTAGAAACTGTGATCACATCACTGCCAGAGAAGTTTCCATTCCTGATCCCAAGTACACAAACAAGTTAACAATTCATGCTACCAAAGCAGAACAAAAAATAACAAAAAAGCACTCAAGGATTTTTTCAGAATGTCTCTTAATTTGTGGATACCCGAAATACTGAATTGATTGAATTGCAAAATTGATTTCTTCCAAAGTGCCTGACAAAGTTAGTTCTTTAGTCTTCCCCTCATCTTTCATGGATGATACTATCTGGGCAGGTCGCCAAAACTTCATAAGCATAGGAGAAAGGAGGATTGTCCCAAATTTCGCACCGAGAGTAATGCTGATATTTTCATCTGAATCCGAATACATAATCTCAAGGCCAGCAAATCCACTGCAAACAAAAAATATAGAAACTAAAAACCAGTGTTTCAAGATTTTAAAGCCTAATGACTAATACTAGTATATGATTAAATTAAAAATAACAGACAAAATATGACTTTTGCAGCATAGTTACTATGGTGGCACTTTTGTAGTGATTTTAGTGACCATGATGATCTATTTTACTAGGACCACAATGGTATTTTCAAAGTTACTATGTAGTCCTATTTTTATCCATGGATTTTATTTCAATAATATCATAGAAAACTCCTTAGTTTAAAAACACAGAAAGAACAAGAAAATGTTCTTACCCATATCTAGGACTAACTACATCTTCAGTTGCTTGGAGCTGACTAGGGTAAGAAACAAACTGAGGAGGAATGCTGAGGACTGATATGTTCACACTTCCAGATGCAAAGTTCCCATTTATATCAGATATTGTGTATGAGAACGAATCGTTCCCAGTAAACCCTCTGTGTGGAGTATATCTAAACAGATGCTCATATTGTAGAAGTGAACCATGGTCAGGCTGGCAGAAAAGCAAGAAGCGGTAAGTCATTTATGAAATGGACATTTCCTTATTGCACTAAAAATGATGCAACCTTTGAAAAGTAAGAAGCTGTTGCATTGTCACCCGCAAAGTAGTCATTTTCCAGGGCATTAAAAGCAATGGATTCATCCTCCCACAAACTTACTAAGTCATTGTGTACCACTGGAAAGTACTCACCTATAGATGTAGAGAAAGAATCAGTTCGAAGTGGGAAGCGTTAACTACAAGGCAATTTCCTTAGATTGGATCAAAATGTTTCTGTATTCCAAAAACAGGACCACACATTTATGATTCTCTTTTAGGCCTAAAAATATTATGAAATGCCTATAATACCCTTGTAGCAAACATCCATGATTTTGTAGTTGCTGCATTTTTTTCAAGACTTTGTGTGAATGGTCAGGGTAGGGTAATAACACACATCATGTCATAGTACATGTATATAATTATATAGTAATTGTAGAGTAATTGTTGAGTGAGATTGTAGTATTTACACTCGTGAGATAAGTACTGTGTAGTTGTACCCTCTCTATATCCATACTAAGGTCACAAATGTATAATAGAAGTAACTTTCATTTTAAGGAATCAATGAGTCATATAGCCCCTAAAAAAATAATGATGTAGAAGTACTCGTATTTCAAAACTTTGACAACTTATTACTCCTATTGAAGGCAATTTCCCTTGACTAAAAGCTAACACAGAAAGTTTAACGGTTGCTGATGTAAGTTTAGAACTTACTGGGGTACACTGTCACAGCAAAGGGGCAGGGCAAGAAACGGTAGCCATCAAATGAGGCACATATGTCATAGGACCCAATATCCATGGCCACATAGCTACCAGTATATGAACCGTCATTGTTGTCAACAAAGCTAGACGTTGAAAAACCTGATCTATTAATTGAAGCAATCTCTAGATTTATCTTAGACTGTTGGGATAGGATCGGGTTAGTACATGAATCCATGAGCTGTACGACTATATCGTTCTTCATCAGCTTTGATACCTTACTAGAGTATTTCACAACCACAGAAAGAGATGCATTAACCCTGCCTGCATCCAATCATATTAGCATATGACCCCTCTATACAGATGGAGAATATTTAGACAAATGTATTGATCCAATCAAGAAGCTAGTTCAACCCTTGGCCTCACTAACCCATATTTTGCTCACATGAAAGTGACGTGGGCTGATGAATGGGTCACTAGTCCCACTACTCACTAGCCACAGTGCCAGGTGTTGAAAGTGAGCTGGAACTCATTGATACCATTGTTGGGTTGGGATAACTCAGCTTGGAATACTTCAATAGAATTCAATATATTAGCCAATTCAACTCAAGGCCCTATTAACAACCATTATTATCTTTTTTACTTGATGAGACTCTAACGTGCAAGTTCATGAGTGTATCCTTTATTAGTTTACTTGTTCTTTTTTGGTTGGCATACCATACCTGGACTCACTTCTTTTCTAATTGGGTGACCGCCATTCAAGGGAATATTTCCACAAAAGACTCGAATTTGGTATGGTCCACTCTTTTGAGGTGTATAATTGACATCGAAGACACTGAACCTCAAGTTTCCAGAAGACTGCATCCCATATTAGGTAAGATGGTCTTCCAATATGTGCCATATAAATAGCTAAAAGAAAATCTTTTAACACAATTTCTTACATTTATATTGTTATCAGCTGTAGGAGTAAAAGCACTCTCTGTTTCAACGACTTCAGTAAGATTGGTTTTTCCAGCATAAAAATTACCTGCGAATAAGAATATCATTACTAGGCAAGCGTAATCTCAAGGAAACATTATGCTTAGTAGAATGGATAATTGATCTACTCTAATACCATTAACCATCTGCTTTGGATGTATGCTTGGTTGTAAAGGCTGGGAAGCTGCTTCATGGAAAATTTGCACATGAAGTATTTGTAACTCAATTAGCGATGGATATTCATAAGCGTCTCTTAATGAAACAGAGAACCTTGCAACTTCACCAGCAACAGAATGATTGAGACCAGTCCCATTAACAATGCTGCTCATTCCATCACAATAACCTTAAAAGAACATTTAGATTTTCGTTTAGCACATCTATCAAAAGAGAATTAAGAGACAACATGTAGCAAAAGGAAACTAGAAAGTTCCCATATTTAGTTAAAAATCTAATAACAAAAACATATTCTAACGAATGTAATCCATATTTCTGGATTTCAAAATTAATCCACAAAGGTCATATACACCTAAAAAATAATTATAATATGTTTTTAATATAATTCGGGATAGGGTTGGGGTCACTCGGAGCTATAAGGCATTGGGCTAAACTACTCTAAAAGATAGAATTCAATCTATTAGCTAGTTCGACCTAAAGTCATATTGAGTAGACACAGTTCAATGTGAACTTTAGCTCTCCCCTCAACTGGATAACTGGTCCACTCCAAATATAAGTGGTCGGTCAAATTCTAAATTAGACTCTTTGCCCACCTGAAATTTAGACTCAAAATGCATTAGCAACACCTAACGGACGTCATTTAACTTATGATTCTCTCTTTAATCTCCAGAGGTGAAACAACATTAATATAAAAAAACACATATAAGTTGCTGAAGATGTAATAGGAATGGCTACACATGAGAACACCTATAAATACTGTAAATTGATATGGCATGTTGGATATGTGATTCTTCTGCTCCTTATCAGTTATCACAAGCATAAACTCCCCTGGTTCCGCTAGGGTGAAAGAAAACAACTGAATTCCAATGTCAACCTCTGTGAACTGCAGATCTGTGACAGGCATTATCAAATTTGTCCCATTTTCCACGATTTCCACATCAAACTCATACAGTCCTGGAACATGATTTCCATATTTATCGTACTGGTGAATGAAACCCTCCATGAGAGAAAATAATTGGAAATATTTTGTTTCAATGCTCCACCGAGCTACACAGCTGGAGACATCCAGTACCCCTGTAAGAAGTACCACGTGTGAGCATAATTGGTCAAAATATGACAAATTCCCTTACTAGATGCTAAGTAATTCTAATTGCAAAACAGGAAATATTTATAACCAGGAGACACATCTAATGACAGTGGGGAGCCCCTCAGTGTCTGGTTTTCTCCTTGTACATGAAGTAGTAGACTTCCAGCGGTAGCGATGACAAACTCCATGCCCAGAAAGCCAAACTTGTTCCATCCTTTACTGGTGACATTGAGCAAACTTGCAATGGAACCATTTTCACTGTTTGCGGACAAGTTGAAATTATAAGAATTCAATTTATCGTCATCCTTTAAAGAGACATTATTTCCAAATGCATCTTTAGGAAGTATCCAAATCACAGCCTTTGTTCCGGCCACAAATTTTCTCCCTCCGCCTGGCCATGAAACAACCCCAGAAGCCGGATGAAAACGCCCTTCATATAAGTGAGCATTTAGTTCAGCAAGGAATTTCTCATAAGACTGAAAAACATTCACGCTAAAAGTAAAGGAACTGAAGTTAGAAAGCAGATGATCTGAACTTTGCAAAGTTTGGCTCAACTGATAGATAACAATGATAAATCAAAATATGGAGCGCATAAGCTCAAATGAGCAAAGAAACAAGTTTTTTTAGCAGAACTTGGCTAAAGAATCCTCTGCTATTTATTTGATCGTACATAAACTTTAGTGGCTATGTGAGATTCCAAACCTGGGATGGTACGGAAATGCAGGGACGAATCGAAAACGTTAAAGTTATCATCCGTAATGAGGACGTTGAACCATCCAGTCAGGATGGGTATGAAAGAAAGTGCCCAGGACTTAACATCACTACCAAATTGCAAAGAAATCCCAGAAATGTAAGAGCTGTTTCCCATCTTATCATTCACAGTGATGTTGGGATTAAAAGGGTATTGGTATTTCTCCATCTCAAAGCTCCCTACCACTATAACCTTTATAATTGCCATTTCCCCTGCCACAAAAGTGTCTTTGTCATTCAACCAAGCGAAAGCAAAATTGGGCATTCTGGGTACTTCAGCAAAACAAAAGCACAAGGTCAGTTTCTTTAGCATTTCAAAAAATGAAGTCAATCTAGCAAGGTCGAATGTATGAATCAAAGATATATACCTGGAGTTGAGAGTGTAGATATGAAAATAGACGCCGTCAAGATTGGGAGGAGGAGGTGGAGAAATGTAGGTTGGGAAGCCATGTCTGGAAGTTCTTGGTTGAAATTAAGGAAAAGCCGCCAGATTAACATTCAGAGGCGTTGCAGTTAAGCGTGAAACCAAACCCAAACGGTTACAACCGTTGGTGTCTGATAGAATTGCAATTTTAAGTAATTTTAAGTAACCAAACCTCCACCCCGCACGGGTAGCTCAGTTAGTGAGTGGTGGGAAAATTGGACAAGTGACAAGGTTCGAAACCTCTCTTTTACTCCTATTTTAAGTAATTTTTATTTTATTTAGAGATATTACTCGAAACAGGACTAAAACAGTTTGAAAATTCCAAAATAGGACTGTCATGTTTTTATTCCCAAAATATGACTAATTACTGTCATGTTTAGAAAATAATGTCATGTTTGAAGTCTGGTACTGCCAAAACGACATTAATTAGTCATATTTTGGGAATAAAAAACATGACAGTCCTATTTTGGAATTTTGAAATTGTTTAAGTCTTATTTCAGGAACTTTCCCTTTTACTACCTCCGTAACACAAAGATCTTCTCATTTTGACTTTTCACGGTCTTCTAAGTTGAACTTTGACTCTAAATATTTACATATCTATATTTATAAAATTCATAATAAATTAACATTCAAATAATATGTTTTACAATGAGGTATATGAAATAAATTTTTAATCATAACATATTGTTAGTTTTGAATAATTAATGGTCAAAGTTTATAAAGTTTGACCCAAAAATGTCAAACTGGGAAGATTCTAGAATTACAGAGGTAGTATTTATTATCTCCTCTAGATTTTCTAATTTTTTTTATAATATTCACCGAAAACATGGAGGAAAAAATCACAGTTTATGAAATACGTGGCCGGCCGGAATGCTTTCATTGTTGTTTAATTTGTTCCCAATGATAGACGTGGAGTATTACTTCGTACATTGTCAGTATAGTGGTCACAATTAATTATAATACCTAATTATTGGTAGGTTAAGAAGGCCGGGCTTAAAATTTAAAATTTCATTATATTTTACTACCTTTAAATATTTATACAAATCTGATTAAATTTGATAAAAACTAGATATATAAAGTAAAAGATTAAGAAAAATGCACGTTGACCGAAGAAAAATATTGGACGAGAACCTTTAAATTGGATCTTCTAGTCTCCCCTCATCCCTGTGGCCATGATTAATTAAATTGATTTTGCCATTGAATTGGATATTTGTATGCACCTTAACTCATTGGCAAGTTGAGATCGAGTAGTGGAAACTGCCATCTTATCTTTGCAGTTAATATTTAATTAGTTGGCGGTTGGCCACTTTTAATTATTTGAAAACAAATTCTTAGACACTAATTTGGCATGTTGTATGCATGCGCAAATTATACCCATATTTCCACACTTAAAATGATGCGGTTTTATGTTCAAATTTTACAATCTCACATTTGTAATCTCTAGCATCAAAGTGTCCATCTTTTCTTTCCTTTTCTAGTAATATTCGCATTTCTTGTTTTATTTTTCTTTTCTTCATTTTTCTTTTCTCCTTCTCCAATAAAATAGTAAAAAATTAGCTGTATTTTTCTTTATCTTTAACTTAAATTAAAATTGAATATATTTTTTATATTTTTATCAGCTCATAAAAAAAACTTTATTAATCTAAATACAATAAGTATTATTTCATTTAATATTCATACAACATTTTGTCTATAATAGTAGTACTTTTTATATTCATAAACTTTTTTCTATGATCCTTTTTTCTCATGTTTATATATTTTTTACGTAATACCAAACAACTTGTGTGTTGATAACATTACCGTGACACTCCCAATGAGAAAGTTATAAGGTCAAAACTCATGTATCAATTTAAGAATGTTGACACTTAACAAATACGTAGTAACATATACTATTATAGAAGTGTGAGCAGTGAGCACATAAAAGCTCTTTTATGTAATATATATTAATATCTTTTATACTCCGTATGTTTTTGTGAGTTATTAAGACATTGAGTTTGTTTGTTTATTTTATTCACAATTTATCATACTGAATTTAGTTCATCATACTTATTGTAATATGTATACATAATCTACATTTGATAATAATGAGATTACATTTTCAAATTTGATGTGTAATATTGATTATATTCTCAAATTGTAAATAAAGCCTTTAATTAAGTATTATTTTACGTGAAATTTATGACGTACTAGTATATTGACATACGAAGTATATATCAAATCTATAACTGAAGTTTTTTTCAAAAATATTACTACCTTAAAACTCATTACAAAAATATGACTAATAGTTACTACAATTCAATATCATGGTAAGTTAAGTTTAAAAATTGAACATATGTTACTATGCATTCATTACTACTCTAGTCACTAGTCACATTTTTGTAAACAATCTTTATTTTAGTCATAGATATGTAATTATTTCTAACTGTATTCATCTCATTTAGGGGGTGTTTGGATGTGATTCTTAAAACTGCTTCTGCTCCTTCAAGGAGCAGAAGCAGAAGTTGGAGTATTTGGATGAAAGTGCAGAAGTGATTATGGTGCTCTAATTTACTCCTAGAATCAGTTTTTTAGAAGCTGAAGGTGACCAGCTTCTGAAAACGGATCCTGATTCTGCTTCTGCTTTAAAAAGGAAGCAGAAACAGAATCAGTTCCAAACACCCCCTTAAACTACTCGTAATATCATTTATCTAAGTTTCAATTCAGATATTGGATCTGTTTGGATATCGGCGGTTTAGGCCAAACCGCCAATTTTTTACAAAGCTAAACGCTGCTTTTTGCAGCGTTTTGGCGTGAAACCACCAAGAAACAAACGGCTCCATTGTTTAAAAATGATCTACCATTTCTATTATTATGTACTACTTATTTTGTTAATTTTCATCCCTGATTTAGAATACTTTATACCCCACCCCACCTTGTAGAGTTCTGGCCGGTCTTTATTATTCTTCATACTCCGTATATAAGAGCAAACACTTGAGAGGCTGATATATATCGAGCATAGGTTGTAGAAGTGAAACGAATTGCAGAGATGAAGAAATTGCGGAAGATGAACGAATTGTTTGAAGAAGAAGAAGAGATTAATTATCTGATACAGTAGGTTAAAGAAGCCTATTTATACTAAAGGGCTAAAAGACTCTAACAGGCTAAAATATATACAGTCCATTACAGTTTAGTAGCCCAATAAGAATAGGCCCAAATAATTATTCTTGAGACGCCCCCTCAAGATGAGCATGAATATCCAGCATGTTCATCTTGTCTGCAAACTGCTTGAAGAGTGGATTTCCAAGTGGTTTTGTGTAGATATCTGCAAGTTGATAAATATTAGATATATGTGTAAGTTTTATGAGTCCAGAATTAATCTTTTCTCTTATTAAATGACAATCCGGTTCTATGTGTTTAGTTCTTTGATGTTGTACATGATTGTATGCTAAATGATATGTAGATTTGTTATCAGTATATAATGTAATAGGTAAGGAATTGTTAATATGTAAGTCTTGAAGAATATAAAAAAGCCATTGTGCTTCACAAACTGCATTTGATGCAGCCCTGTATTCTGCTTCAGTAGAGGATCTACTGATAACAGATTGTTTCTTGGATTTCCAAGAAACTAGAGAATCACCAAGATAAAAACAATAACCAGAAATACTTCTCCTAGTATCAACACAGGATCCCCAATCAGAATCAGTATATGCTTGAATATTGAAAGAGGATTTGGAGGAATAAAAAAGTCCTTTACCTGGAGAGCTTTTAAGATATCTAAGAACTCTATGAGCTGCTGGTAAGGTGGTCCTGCAAGATAGCATGGTTAGAGGAGAAATATACTGAGATATTATCATGAGAGGTTAAACTCGAAATAGAAATTAGATTGAAGGTAAAGTTAGGAACATATAAAACATTGTGTAATGTAAGATTAGAATTCAATTTGATATCACCAATTTTAGTGGCAGAAATAAAACTGCCAGTAGGAAGTTGAATTTTAATTGAAATGTGTTTAGTTGGAGTGGTATATAAAGAAGCATCATAAACCATATGGTTAGATGCTCCAGTGTCAAGAATCCATTGAGAAGATTTAAAAGTTGAAAGAGCAAAGTGTTTACCTAAAAACTTTGTGTCACAGTAAGAGGCAGTTTGATCATCATCAGGAGCAATGGTGACAACATTAGCTGAAGCAGTTTTAGATTGTTGAGCTTGAACAAATTGCAGAAATTTCTCATACAGATTGGGATCACAGAAATCAGTTGTAGCAGAAATAGGAGCAGATTCAGTGTAATTTGTAACCAAAGGAGCATGTTGGTTGTTGTTTGAATTGGTAGGAGTTAGAGCAGGTTCATTGGAATTAGTGGCCATATGAGCATGATGAGTTTTATTAAGATTAGGATTAGGTTTAAAACCAGGAGCAGTTCTATGTCCTTTTGGCCCTTTCCAATTACTAGGATAACCAATTAGTTGGAAGCATTTATCAGAAGAATGGCCTTGATAGCCACAATGAGTACAGGTAATAGAAGTTTTCTTTTTTAAAATTTTTAACAAAGAAAGCAGTAGCATCATTGAGTTTTTCAGAAGCAGAAGGATCTGAAAAAGGAGTAGTGAAAGGAAGAGTATTCTGAAGAGATCTTTGAGATTCTTCTTGAAGAAGAATAGAGTAGATACTAGACAGAGTATTTTTATCTGTGTTAAGAAGAATTTGACTTCTCAAATTAGAATATGAATCATTCAAACCAACAAGAAACTTGAGAATGGACTCTGTCTGGATAATTTTTTGGTAATTTTCAGATATATTGCAAGTGCATTGACCACAAGTACAGGAAGGAATATTTCTGAAATTACAGTATTCATCCCAAATTTCTTTGAAACAGTTGTAGTAATCAGTTATACTACGAGAACCTTGACAAAGATTTCCTAGGGTTTTTTCAAGATGAAAAAGTCTAGGACCATCAATTTTTCCATACCTAAGCTGAACTTCATCCCAAAGCTCTTTAGCATCATTAAAAGATAAGAAAGTAGTGCGAAGAGCAGGTGAAATAGAATATATCAGCCAAGATAAGAGCAGAGCGTTGATACGATACCAGTTGATGTACATAGGAGTATCTGGACTTGGTTTTGTGACGGATCCGTCGAGAAATCCCATCTTGTTCTTCACCGCCATAGCCATGGAAACAGATTTCTTCCATGCACCAAAGTTGTCGCCTGTGAGTGTTTCATAGATGACTCGAAGCCCAGCGTGATCGCTAGGATGAAGATAGTACGGTGATGATGAGTCTTCCGTCGGATTTAGCATTGAAGCCATAGTATTTAGGGTTTCGCAGATGATAGATTGAAAGGAATAGGGAGAGATCGATTATAGAAATCGATTAAGAAATATGAAATCGATTGTGAGGAATCGATTAGAGAAGAATCAGGATCGATCCTTAGTCTGATACCATGTAGAAGTGAAACGAATTGTAGAGATGAAGAAATTGCGGAAGATGAACGAATTGTTTGAAGAAGAAGAAGAGATTAATTATATGATACAGTAGGTTAAAGAAACCTATTTATACTAAAGGGCTAAAAGACTCTAACAGGCTAAAATATATACAGTCCATTACAGTTTAGTAGCCCAATAAGAATAGGCCCAAATAATTATTCTTGAGATAGGTACAGTGCAGTCATATATCTGTTGTTCAATGCTGAGATCTTTTACAATGATCTATTGCTGCCTGGATTGAATCTTCTCTATCCGAGGAATATCGGCCACTGCTGCCTCTCTTGAAAACCCGCATATCTGGGTATCCGTTTGAATCATTTGAGGAGGTTAATGAAAACCTTTGAGAAGAAACTTTTGTTGGCGACAATAACCTCTTAGAAGCACCTGAAAAAGACCTTCTTCTGCGACCTCTTTCTTCATACTCTGGAGCATCTCCTTTCTTTAAACTCTTCCCGATTAGAGCAGATGAACTTTTGCTAAACAGTGACTGAAAATAAGCACGAGAAGCTTTCACCTTTGAGCTAAATGACCCCCCTTTTGAAGCCTCCTCGTTGATGGCTTCTTCTGCCAACCACTCACAGAAGAAGTATTTGTAAGTAATAATTAATGATGATGAATGACAGTGGACAAAAATGCGACTTTTATATATATATATATATATATATATATATATATTTATAGTAACTTTAGTCAAGGAAAAACCTGCAGTAGTGTCGGGATGAATTAGCTCCGCGCTATCATGGCAAGAATCGAAAGGAGAAACGGAGTTCGTGTTCTCGAGAAGTTTGCGGAGCATTTGTAGACGGGGTGGGAGGTGAAGGGGGAGGAGTTTTCCTTTGCAGAAGAGCTCATCTGCTGGAGAAGTTGAGGGGGTGTACCTTTCAGAAGAGGTTGAGAGCATCTGGAACTCAAAGACGTCGTCTATGGTGGGGTTGGAATCTGATGAGCGTAGTACTTCCATGTCTATGCAGTCTTCTTCCTCTGCATGATCACTACGTGTGTAGGGAATTGCTTCTTCCATCTCTCAGAGTTGCATTCAAGTAATTAACAAAGATTGAGGTTTCCTTCAAATTGGTAGTATGCAAAACTATGCCTGCTAAAGGAGGTGCAGAGTCGTCAGCATAAGACAATTAATTAATACTAATGAGAATGGTGGTTTGTTTATCATCAATCGCCTTAATCCTAGCTAATTCCCAGGGGTGGGTGGCATTAAAGTTACACAGTGCCAATAATGATTTGACTAAATAATCACATCTTTTTTCATTCAAAATTATATGATCATTTTAATTGTTTTATTACATAAATAAGAATTTGGACTAATTATTTATTGATTTATTAGCTAAATATATATATCATCAACTATCATCAAAGTCATAAATCTATCCCATACTTTCACTTTTATTAAAAAAAGGCTTAAAGTTCAATTTTTCTCAGGGAAAAGGGGCAAATAAAGTCATGTAATAACAAAAAAATGTCAAATAAGGCCTTATTTATGAGACTCTGTCCGGCCTTCGCCATTTGGGTTGGTTCTCGGTGGAGATTTTTGATGAATTTTTTTGAGAATCTTATTCAGTAAGTCTAGTTTACTCATACCAAATTTAAGCTAAACCTTCAATCGGGAAGCCATTCAAATGAATTCTTGAAGATAATTGCGCAGTTAAAAGCGCAGTTATCTCCAAGAATTCATTTGAATGCCTTCTCGATTAAATTTTTATCTGAAATTTGGTATGAGTAAACTAGACTTAATGAATAAGATGGTCAAAAAAATTAATCAAAAAATTCCACCGAGAACCACCCCAAATGGCGAAGGCTAGACAGGGGCTCATAAATAAGGCCTTATTTGACCTTTTTTGTTAGTACGTGGCCTTATTTGCCCATTTTCCCATTTTTCTCACAATTGCACTTTCAATGGATGAAATAGTAAAACTTAAAAAGAAAATCATACAGAGTATTTATATTTCATATTTTTTCACTTATTTCTAGTAAAACTAGTATTGCTTATATCTTATTGGTAATGATTAAAATATGTAATTTTGAATAAACACAAAAGAAAAGCATAAGTGTTGAAAAAGATAAAGTTTGAGTCTTTTTCTAATAAAAGTCAAAGATTGGGATAAATTTGTGAATTTGATGATAGTTTGTGATAAAATAAGCTAATAATTGATGTGTTTATTGAAATAATTGTTCACTCATATGTGAAAGGGTGTTTGAAATTGATTCTGCTTATGCTTCTTTTTTAAAAACAAAAGTAGACTCAGAATCAGTTTTTCAGAATTGGTCCCGTTCAGCTTCTAAAAACTGCCTCTAGGAGCAATAGTAGCAATTTGGAGTATCCAAACGTACTTTTGCACTTTCACCCAAACACTTCGTTCGGTATATGTTTCAGCTCTCTGAAGGAGCAGAAACAATTTTAAAAAATAAATTTAAACACCCCCTAATTGTGATATTTTATGCGTTAAAAATACCACCTCCGTCCCGAAGAGGTTTGTCATATTGACATTTTTGTCAATGATGACAAACTTAATACAATGGTTTTAATTATTATATTTGTATATAATTTATAAATTTTTTACTTTGATGAAAATGTTTTGAATAACACACATTTTAATATTATTTTTCACATTCAAAACAATTTCATTTTGAAAAATATCATTTGTCAAAGTTGATTACTATATTAATTTCACGAACCTTTTCACAATAACTGAGGGAGTAAAAACAAATTGAATGTGAATCAATTATATGTCAAGCTCTAAAATATCTTTGAAATAATTATGGACTACCCGCCTACCCCATGTGGCATCATCATCTCCTTAAAGTTTACATATTTGACCTGTCATTAAACTCGTAATAAAGGAACTTAGGGCACAGGTGCTCATATAAGTTGGTTTTAATTCTTGTCTAGGAAAGGGTCAATCCACGTTTCAATTGTAGATAAACACTTAAAAAACATTAAAATCGTGTTTGCACCTAAACAGTCCTTCAGAATTCATATGAATTGGAGCAGAAAGGAGAGCATGAAAGGTACAGTTTTCAGTACAAAGCAGTATTCCTATTAAGCTTTTCATTTCTATTTTGGAAAGTAATTAAGACCGTTAAATGACAAATAAATCATTAAATATTAAAAACAATATAGAGTACATCTATAATATCAGCTATCATCAACAACCTCATATGTTATATACTCATCAAATAAATTTATTAAAATATACTCTAATTACTTTGTTTATTTATTATCTAAGTAACCGTGTCATTTTTCAACGAGAAGTTTAAACCAGGACCAGTGACGGACCTACTATTTTTACTTTGGGTGTTCAAAATTATCTATTTTTTCATTAAAATACTAATAAATAAATTATTATTCTAATTCAGGCATATATATTTCCATTTTTTTAATATTTTGGGTGTTCACATGAATACCCTTGCATAGCACAGATCCGCCACTGACCATGACAAAGGTAGTTATCTCAGCAGCTATGGGGTACCCTAAGCATTCTGGAACCAGGTAGTTATAAGACTTGACCGGGACCGCCGGACCGGGAGGCTGAATTGGGTCGAAAATATTATTACAAAAGTATAAATTTATTTAATATTACATAAATATATTAATTAAAATAAATTGTCAAAGTTTATCATCTTGACTAGAAAAGTCAAAGATGGCTAAATAAAAAGTAACGAAAACGGTATGAATATATGGCAAAATACACTATACCTATTTTAGAAATGACCCCCAAGATCGAGTGTTTGGGTCTGCCAAAAGTTAAGGACAACTTTTTCTAGGATCATAATTCTTATGATTTGTTTTATGAAAGTGTCTTTGTGACTTAAAATAAACTTTTAATGGTATGGGGAGATCCAAGGTCACATTGATCAATTTTTTAAAATAAAAATAGTTATATGATACTTTTTTAGTAGAGGTTTAAGTCATACATTGAAAATAGAAGAAAATTCTATTTGATCCTTTTTTTTCAATGCTCTCATGAAAATGTGAAAATACTTGCCTATCTTTATACCTAGTACGTAGTATAAAAATAGGCAAGTTCAGCTTCTATTTTAGGGAAAGCATTTTAACCAACATTTTAACCAGCACCTAAGTATACAGGCCTTTTTATTTCAATATTACTAAAATGAATCAAAAAGACAAAAATGTGACCTCTTTGAAATTTTCCCAAAAAAGTGACTAAAATCATTTATTCTTGGTATTTTATCATATATTTATTATTTTAATATTCTTTTTATATATTTAATTAGTAGTCTATATTTTGAAGCCACCAGCACCTCCGTGACCGCCGCCGCCGTCACCGGCACCACCGCTGCCGCCATCACAGGCACCGCCGCCGGCACCGCCGCCGCCGCCGGTCACTATCTCAGTGACTCCGCCGCCACAGTGACTCCGCCGCCACAGTGACTCCGCCGCCACAGTAACTCCGTCGCCACAGTGACTCTGCCGGCACAGTGACTCCGCCGCTTCAGTGAATCCGACCACCGTGACTTCAGTCACCGTGACTGCCCGCCTACCGGCCACAGTGACTTCCGGCCAACCGACCACAATTACTCAGCCATGGTGACACGTCACACTGACGCCACTGCCACCACCACCCCCCGGCCGCCGCCCCAACCCTGACTCAACTCCACATTCTCCGGCCCCCAGCTACCTCCCTAGCCCCTCCTAGCCCCCAACCCCCAGCCCTCCATCTCCCCAGCCCACAGCCCTTCCCAGCCTCCAGCCCCCTCCCAGCCCTCAGACACCTCCCCAATCCCTCTCAGCCCCCAACCGCCTCAATCCCTTCCTCTGCATTTCCACCGCCCCTTCCAGTCTTCCCCTGAACCCGTCACACCCCTTCCCTCACCAGGCACTCCATAGTTATTTCGCCGCCGCTGTCCCAATCTGCTATTAAGGTTCCATCGATGATGGCGACAGTCGTTCGACTCCCCTCCCCTTCCCATCGCACGGACAGAAAGAGAAGAAATAGATATTCGTAGATGGCGACGACGTGGATAGGCAGGGGACGGTTATTGTGGTCGAAGATGGAGATGAGTTTGGCTCAGGGCAGCATAGACGGATCCAAGTTTGCGGCATCGAGCTCTAAGGAGCGCAGCAGCAAAGTAGCGCAAATGTGAATTTAGGTTAGGAAGCTGCGTAAAAGTTAAGCAGATGGGGCGGAATGAATGAGGTTTCAATTTTTAAATCATTTTTTTGTCCAATCAGTTATTAGTCATATTTTTAGAATTGAAAAGTGTAGGAGTAATATTCAGGCCATTTTTTCAAGTATATATTGTAGTATGCCAACACCTCTTCGAGTTGTTTGGACCTCCTTTTAGGAAGTAACATAAATAAACTTGGCCTTTTCTCTATCAACAAGATATGACGATATCAATCTCCTCATCAAATCGTGGACGCATGTATGAACCCCTCCACAAACATTTGCAATATAAAGAAACAAAAACTACCAATTTATCAACATAGCTGAACACAAAATTTGGTATTTAAACATTTCTATATCTAAGAGAAATTGTTGTAAATTTGAGTATTTACATTCGAATTTAAGAAGCGTTAATGCATTTTAGAATACAAAGAAGCAATTCCCAGGCCAAGTGTTTTCAATAACCTTGGGCCTAAGAATGTCATTTATCCCACCAAACATATGTAATAACTGCCAATTGTTCATTTGAGTTTGTATAAAAAAGTTGTTTGAATTGTTAAACTTTTCTATTTGTGGGCTGCAGATTCCTCATTTCTTAACTCTCTTTCTAGTTCTTCAAATTCCCAGTCACCAACCTCTTCTGCCAATTGTTCATTTGAGTGGCTCTCCCTATTGACCTGACCCAATTCAGCCTCCAATTCAGCCAATTCCACGTTATGATCTCGAATCTCCTCAGACTTGGGAGCTGATGGTTCTTTCTTCTGATCTTCAGTTGCTGGTCCTTCACTTTGCTCCTTTTCAGCAATTCCAGTCCCAGGATTTGTCGCGCTTTCTTTTGGCCTTTCGCCAGATGGGGCTGGTGTCTCCATTTCAAGATTTGGTCTCTCAATTGAATCAAATTCCGCTCTCAACATTTCAATTTTTTCAAGAAGTTCCTTCACCACAGAATCATCTTTCCTGAATGTCAAGAACTAGTTTAATTCATCAAAGCTATGTTTGGAACTCGGAAATCAGTAGTGGGGGTTAAGCAAAATGTTTTCATTTAGTATTTAGCTGTACTAGGAAAACGCGAAGGAAAATTAAATTAAATGCGATTAGAGATGTATAATGAAAAGAGTTTTAACAAATAAATAACATTGATTTATTGAGCTAGAAATGACTTCTTATCCCCCCAAACTTTCTTTCCTTGCAAGTTGCCTTTCTATTTTCCTTCCTATTTTCTTTCCTAGCATTTTTTGAGTTCCAAACAGACCCCAAGAGTGAATATTTGGGGAAAGTGACATCAGCAGAAGTGCGGTTCATGAACAAGAGACCTGGAGATTTTTTCTTGGTGGGAATAGTACTGCTCCTTCATGTTATCCACCACACTGAAGGTGGTTATAATCTGCAGTTAAAACAGACATTCAACAAGGGGATGAGTGTGTAGTACAACTGCTAAACCTAAACTAGAAAGGGGAGTCAGTTAGGGGAATTACTAGGGATCTCCCAAAAAAAAGGCTAGGGTTTCAGTGTTTCACCATGGTACAACTTCGAATTTAGTAAGGTACAATTGTACAACTATCGGGAATCATCAGTTCAAGCTATATTTTAAATTCATTTCTGGTCTGACTACAGCTTCTGTAACATACTTAATTCGTTTGTGAAACTTTTTTTAAGGAAATTACATTAAATATAATGAAATTAGCCTTTTTTCCAATATGGATTTTTTGTTGTTTTTAACAAACGAATATTTTCAAATACTCCATATGACTCTTAGTGGCAGAGTAATAAATTACCAAATCAGAGACATGTGAGGCAACTTTCGTATTCGCCTCAGATTCTAAAACTACATATGAATAACAATTGCAACAAATAATAAGCAAAATTACCTTGGCTTCATATTCAAGGTATTCCTCCTCAAGATTATTTCTCGGGTTAATTGTGTTAGAATCATCATGCTCCACATCAGATGCAACCACTGAGCTATGTGTATTACTTCAAGATTTCATATAAATATGATGAATTGAATGGGATATGTATAGATGAGCACATACTGATAAAAAACAAAGACATTGTTACCCTTTGTCAAAATTCCTCAAATTCTCCACATACTTCGCAATCCGATCAATATTTGGCTTTAATTCTCTCTGCGCAAGAAGCATGACATTATTCACACTTCACTTTTGCAAAATCTGAAGATGTGGTATCACCGTATCAGTATATCACTTATCAAAGTACCTCATAAGCAGAAAGGAGTTCAATGACCAACTTCAAAAAATAGTCTTCATGCCGTTCCAGTTCATCACTAAAAAAAGCAAAGTAACAATTAGTAATAAAGCAAGAAGAGGATATTTTTATCAGTAGTTCAAAAGACACATTAGCAATAACATTAAGCCCCCTCCCCCGCTTTAAAAAACATTGTTTTGGGAAAGGTACGACTTTTGTGTTTGGCATGAGTACAACTGTTAAGAGTCATGAAATCCTAATATTAAGGGTTAATTACCTAAATAGGACTAAAACATGCCTAAAAATCACAAATAGGACTACCATGTTTTAAATTCCCTAAATAGGACTAATCATGTGTGTTTGGACAAATATACCCCTGTAGCTTTTAGGACTAAAATAAATATTAAATAAAATTAATAAAAATAAAAAATTAGAAAAACAAATTATAAAGTAAAAAATCAATTAAAATGAAAAAAATAAAAACATAAAAAAAGGCCTTTGCCGCCGTCTCTGCCACCCCCAGCACCACCAGCTCCAATCACCAGAAAAAATGCCAAGAGTAATAATGCCATTTTCTTGGCATTTTCAGAAAAATGGCATTTTGTTTACACAAAATGGCATTTTTTTCACCGATCGGAGGTGGTGGTGCTCGGAGGCGGTGGGAAAGGCATCCATTTTTATTTTTTATTTGCTTTTAATATTTTTTTAATCAATTTTTTATAAATATTTTATTAATTTTTTATTGTTTTCTAGCGATTTTTAATATATTTTTACGATATTATTATGAATTCAAACATTTTATTTTGAATTAAAAAATTACAAAAATTAATACCCTTAGAGGTATTTAGGGTAGAAAATTAATGTTTAGTCCTATTTGTGAATGATTTAGGCTTTAGTGCTATTTGTGCATTCAAATTTCCATTTAGTCCCATTTAGGGCAATTACTATACTATTCAAACTTGTTTGCTTGTACTAAATTTATCGTACCTAACTTTTTTTATAACCATTTTTTTTTCCATCATTTGCAATGGAGCCAAAGATTCATTATTTTTTGGCTTGAGATTATGATGGAATAAAGCAAAATGGCTCACTAAACTGTCTGCGCTTCTTTGTTATGAAGCAGCAGTCAGTCCATGCAATCTTGGACGCGATTTTCACTATGGGTCATCCGGAAACAGTCTCTCTGTGCTTTAGTACAGGGGTAAGACTGCGTACATCCGATCCCCCCTTACCCCACCGTAGGTGGGAGCCTTTGCGGCACTGGGGTAAATGAAAATGATGAAAATGACATGAAATATTAGTTTCTTCTGATGAAATGAGACTTTTTTTTTGGGGGGGGGGATAACTTTTGGAGTGACACACTTCTTTTAGTCAGAACAAGTATTTAATGCAGCGAGTCAAAAGTTATATAGGCAACTAATTATGTACTTTTCCAACTTGTTTTTAATATCCATATAAGAGCATTGAAGAGCCCATGTGTCTTCCAAAAAATTGATCCATGCGCTAAGAACATCTGCTTCCACTCTACATGAGCTAATGGTCTTTGATAGCTCATCTTCCTGCAAAAGTTTGAGCACTCTCAAATTGCAATAATCATATATAAAAAGCCTCGGAAAATCAAGTGCAAACAGAGGGCATGTTGCAAACGCCAGGAAGACCTTAGTTTTCAGATGTGCAACAATCTGGTCATTAGCATCATAAAACTGGTCTCTCTCTTCTCTAACGTTGTGAAGGCGCCCATTAGCTGCAGCCAAGGAGATATTCACCTGAAAATATTATCGAAATTGTGAAATGAGTCAAATGACATACTTCAAGGATGTGCAAATGCAACAACAGCTCACCTGAACCAAACTAAACACAACTAGTATGTCGCACTCGAAAGTAGTCTTGAAATGGTGAGATATATGCAGACCTTTCTACCTATAGCAGTAGAGAGGATGTTTCTATGAAAACCTCAGGGCTTAAGGAGGAAGGAAACATTTTGGAAGTTTTCAAAGATTTTACAAATTTGAAGAATTTTTAAAAAGTTGAACCTTGGTTTTAGTGACAATTTAAGCAGAAAAAGAACAACAGCCAAAGATGCAAGGTAATGTGAAACCATGGTTTCAACAATTTCTTCTGCAACTCTAGTCTCTTAGACTCCAAAACACTGTATAACAGAGCTCAAGGCAATAGTGGGTCAGTATTGCATTGAACATTTTACAGCGTCGAAAGTTGAAAATGGTGGGAGACTGGGAGTAGTGACATCACTGACAGAGTCAAAGACACAGGTTGGTATCAACGTGAAAATATAACAAAAGAAAAACGAAAGGGTGTCCTAAAAAAAGTACCTGTTTCAATTGAGCTTCAAGTTCATCTCTCTGTTTCTCTAGTGCTGAAATCTCAGCTGTTATTTCCTGAAGAATACATAAAGGACACTACAGTTACCAGAACCTAAGACATTAGTGGTCCATCAAAATGCCAGTGTAACTGCACGCAATCATTTATGGATTGTACTCTAACAGGCATGAAATTAAAAATAGCACAGCTGCACAAGATATGAACAAGAAATGCGGAAATGAATACAAAAAAAGTCGGAAAAAATTTCATCTCACTACTCTGATACCCAAGCATGTTCTAGCTTGGAATTCTGAAGTCAATTGCAACACCAAAAAGTAATCAGCTACGTTTTTTCCAACAATTAACATTATTTAGTCAGACAAATTGCTATGAAAATTGAGTTTTGAATTTGATAAATAGGCTGCAATGAAGACATGTATGATGCATTCTACGGAAAGACCTATCAGCGCCGCAATATCAGTGGCAGATCCTTAGCTGACTAAGAAGTTCATTATGGAAGGATATTAAATTCCTTTACAGCAGATTTCTGATTTATTGTTTGATTGCTTTCCTTCATTAGATTAGTTAACTACTTTCCTTAGTTAAGTTGATCTGCAGCTTTATTGCTTGCCATCATTAGATAAGTCTATTTTAAGAATTGATTTAATGTAATCCTCTCCTTCCTTACTGGTTCTTGTAACCCTTACTATAAGTAGGGACTCCTGCTTTGAATAATAAACAAGCCAGAATTAAGTACTTATCAAGGAGAAAGGAACTCCATAAAATTCCTGAAGTTCTATCCCCTTCCCTGCCTTCCATATTTTCCGTTATTACCTGCAAAAATAGAGGGATCTCATCTCCCTGCCCTGACCAATCGCCGGTTGACGCGAGCTCTAGCCCGGGAACATAACAATGTAAGGTTATCCCCTGAATGATGCTGCATGTAGGGGATCGAGGTGCTCCTGAGGTTTGATTATTTCTGTATATGTACTAGTTATAAGCACATTGTTTACTTAACTGTATATATGCACCCCCACCTAGCCCGAATCCCACATTTTTAACTCTCCTTACACAGTTGAAAGTGTATTAACATTAAGATATTGCTTTATATGTTAAGTTTATATAACTACTTTAGTACTTCGGTATGCATATCAGGGCACAGGCATGTAGCATACCTAGGAGTTCAGCAACATAAGGCAATCAACTTTTATTCTAAAAAGAATACCTTTTCCAGTTCACTGGCTTCAGAGGTCTTGGCACCACGAAATCTTAAAGTTTCCTCTTTCTGAACTCTGCCAAGAATATAAATGGAAATAAAAACAGAAGGCTCAGTACAATGTGATTTTGAGTTCAATTGATGAGAGCAGGGGAGAGAAAAAAAAGAAAAACAGTTAAAAAACAGCAAAAAATGAAATTAGAAAGGTAAAAACTAGGACAAATTTATACTTTTGTTGGATAACTAATCACAAAATGACGAATGAGGTGGTTATACTTCATCAGTTAATCCCGTGATTATCACTGTTATATAATATAATATCATAGCTAGATATCGTGCAGACACTGATAGAACACTGGTAATCACAAGCTCCGAATAGTATAGAAATCAATTCGAAAGGTAGGAAAATAGACCGGGAACTTTATTCAATCAGTAAGAACAGGTCACCAAGGGATACAGTCATACAGTGCTCTAGGACAATTCGAGATGCCCAGTCTCCTAGCCAAAAACTCAACTGAATACTTGCCTACCTCTTTTTCCTCCCCTCCCCTTCTATTTATACTACTACTATGTACACTTACTATTATTATTTCTATTATTAGCCAACGAAGCCAGGTTCCTATCAATACTCCCCCCCTAAACAACCACCTTGTCCTCAAGGTGGGTGATAGGAAACAGCCATTATCTTCCACTTCCACTTCATTCTTGCACCTCTCCCCTCCCAGTACTTGACTGATTTCTGGACTAGGAACTTCAATACCAAATCTTTTGATATCACAGACATTTCCGCAGCCGAAGAGATATCTAATGAAGGTTCATTCGCTTCAGTAACTTTCGAGCACTCATTCACCACACATGTTTCTGTACTAGATGCAAACTTCTCTATGTACCTTTCAACTTCATATGAAAAGGAAGGCATAAAAGGTTTTAGCAAGCAAGCAAGGAGATCCACTATACCAGCAGCAGTTCTCTTAAGTATGGAACAGGAATTCCTATCTCCAATGTAAGACTTCCACAGTTGGTTTTCTTGCAGAAATTCAAGATACCATTCAACCCCTTCATCTTTCAACGCTGCAGCAGTTCTCATAACTATGGAACATGAAGGCCTAACTTCCATATAAAGCTTGCAAAATTGGTCTGCTTGCATGTAATCATTTCCTTCACCCGAAAGAGACATGGGAATTGCCAATCCTTGCTTCCATTTCACCTTTTCCCTGACTTCATTATAATGTTCCACATAGTTTCCGGCCTTTTCTCCCAAAGCTTTAGTTAAGGATTGACTAAAATCCAAGGAAAAATGCTGAGATGTGCTGATTAGTGCGTACTTGGCAGAAAGTACCAATTTGCAAACTTCAACATCAAGAACCAGAAGCTGGTAAATTTCAAAACCAGGTTTCAAGATATTCTTCCCCAGCTTTACTACAATTTCTGACATATGTCGTAGATGGAAATTTGCTTTCATGCCACTTGCAAATTGCAAAATGGCACAAAAACTGTCAACAGTAATAACTTTACCCCTTACTATCATCCCCAGCTTGGCATCAGATTGAGTGAACACTGATTCTTCAATTACAATATTCTGTGGGTCATCCTGCACCCCTGACTTTGCCAAGGCCCCCAGGAATATTACAATACTGTCAACCACCATAGCCTTATCCTGACTTTCAGCATAAGCAACACCCTCCTCCATCCCTCTTCTATTAGTAATTTTGTGAACCATGTTACCCCTTTCCCAATCTTCATCCCTTTTCCCGAGAATCTTAATCTTTGTACCAACAATTGTCACATGAGACTGGTTGCCAAAACCTACACCTCCATCTAGCAGAAGAATACAAACTGGTGTCATCATTCATCAATGGTGGTTTCCGAGCCAGCATAAACTGCTGCTGATTCCTTTTCTTCATCAGTTTGCCATTCTGGTAGTGGCCTACTGTCAACCAACACCTTACAATCTTCAAAGTAGCGACCTAACTGTTGCTTTGGAATTTCCAGAACCTCAACAGCTTTATCCCTAGAACCAATACACGTCTCTTGATCTGCATACTTCTTCATAATGTTCCCCTCTGCTATTTTCTCATTTTCCTCTATACAGGCAGTCCAGGCACCAAAATTTAGAAAAATTGTTCTCACAATGTTCCCTAATGGTTCCTCTTTCTGATATATGGCAATGTCATTTACTGACCGGTGCAGTGTGGTGGCATACTGGCATCATGTATAATGTCTGATGATATTCCATTCTCTATGACTCTATGGAATATTGCATCTCTCTCTTCGCTATTAATTCCATTAATAGCAGCATTATTTTAGGTAGCTTGATGCTCATCTACTTGTACTGTGACAGCAGTATTTGAATCATCAGCCGATTCATATTCAATGGCACTAGAGGCTTGAGTTACCACATAAGATTTCTCCTCCCCTCCCTCATCACCCTGGATGAACGCATCTTTGGAGGGAAGTTGTCACTGACTAACGTACGGCTGAAGGATCGATGCTGACTCAACTTGCGCACTGTGAGAAGCGGAAATATGCGATGAAACCTGCGGTGAGACATGTGAACTGAGACAAGTCGCGCGCTGAGACCTGCGAACTGAGACCTGCGAACTGGTAGACACTGTTCGCGACTGCGATTGCGAAGAAGTTTGTGATTGTGAACTATGAGATGAAGTTCGCGAAGAAGCCAGATAACTGGAAGGAAGTGCTCATGACTTAGAATAGACCTGTGTATGCGACGAGGTCTGCGAATTAGGCAAAACTGTTCACGATGGCGAGCTGGGAACTTCTATGTGCGACACGGTCTGCGCACTTAGCGACACTCTGGGAGAATTAGTTCGTATCTGCGAACTGAAGGACGTTGTTGACGACCGCGGTCGCCTTCTAATCTGGAGTTGTTCGTTCATCGCTGCTAGCTGTCTGGCGAGGTTTTCCGCCATTTTTTTCATGTTGGTAAGGGTCTTCTCCATCGAATCCATCCTCTTCTCCATTCTTGGTGTATAGAATTCTTCCATCGCTCCAGTTAGTTAATATTCTCGATCGATTCAGATCCTCTGTCTCCAGGAATCAAGTGCTCTGATACCAATGGTAGAACACTGGTAATCAGAAGCTCCAAATAGTATAGAAATCAATTCGAAAGCTAGGAGAATAGATCGGGAACTTTATTCACAGTAAGAATAGGTCACCAAGGGATACAGTGCTCTAGGACAATTCGAGATGCCCAGTCTCCTAGCCAAAAACTCAACTGAATACTTGCCTACCTCTTTTTCCTCCCCTCCCCTTCTATTTATACTACTACATGTACACTTACTATTATTATTATTTCTATTGTTAGCCAATGAAGCCAGGTTTCTGTCAGACACACAAAAGCGTTCGGGCTGTGAGGAGCAGTGACTAGGCAAAACTCTATCTGCTCTTCTTCTCTTCTCTTCTCTCAAACACGATGAAAGATATCTTGTGGTTGTCCTTCCTAGCGTTGTCCATAGGTTGTTTATTCCTTGAAGGCAAAGCTGATCATGCAGTTGAGTTTTGCTGGTGGTGGTTGGCAAGGCTTGTTCTACCACTTATATGTGATTTTGACATCGGGGGACTCGCCCCCTCCTGAACCGCCACCATGTTATAAGAGGAAGATGATGCTCAAATGGGTCTCCTCTTCGGTAGGACACATGCCAAGTTGACACGTGTTATACTTCCCCCTGGTCAATGCCATTAACACTAGAGTGGTTTGTGGATCATTGCTGCTTACTCGAAGTTATTTTATATAAATTTTTCAAGTTGTACTATTTGGTTTTTTACTTTAGTTTGTTGCTGTTTAGCTTTGGGAGATGGTGTGAACTTTTTCTGAGTGTTTTGAAATTTCTAGTAAGGTTAGGAGCTTGGAGACTGTTAAGGTCAAACTAAGTTTTGGGAAGCTCGGTATATTGTTAGTGATTCGAGTTGCTCCTGCAGGGTTGGTTGATTCTATATCTAATTGTAGGCAGCAGGCCTATTGTGGGGACTGGTAAACTTTTACTTTAACACTGGTTGTTTCTTATTTTCTAATATAAGCTTTTTCCTTTCAAAAAAACATGAAATGAGCATATGTAAGGATATTCTGTTCTTAGTTATCATTTTATCAGGAAACCATAGGACACTGTAGTGTACAAACTTGTTTACAAAAATGATATTCAGTGACATTTATGTAAGGCACTATAAATAAAATAAATAAAATCAAAACATACTAATTTCTTAATCTTAAACAAATATACGTGGAAAAAAGGATACCAGAATCCCTACCTCTATGACAGGAACAGATATGGTTCAACAAAGTTTCCTTTTCAGATATTGCTAATGAAAAAGACAATGGAATAACACATTATCAACACCCAGTGACTCAGTGAGGTATTCCAAAAAAACAGAGCAAGGAAAAATAATTAAAGATAATAAGTGGCATAGTAGGACAATTAATTCATACAGAAACCCTAAAGAATCAAGCAAATGAAATAACATAAAGGGTTATTCACACAATCACACCCCTTAGGCCAATGGGCCAATGGCATATATAGACCAATTACCTATGATCAGAGATCTTCTTTTCAGCTTTTGAGCTCGAACTGACTAGAGATTCAGATAAGACTTTCAACTTGTCAACCTGAAAATAACAAAAAGTTGTTTCATCTGTAGTGTGGATTGCTTCAGCTATAGAGCAACTCATGTTCAACGAAACATGTGATGAGCTATGACATCGACATTTAACAGATTTTTTAAAAATTGAAAAGGAACAAGATGCACCATACTAATAAACAAGGAGCATTTTGCCACTTGGCACTAATGCATCATTTAGATTATTAAAGAGACAGTAGACATAAAGACAAAAGGGTTGTGCACCTTTTGAGCATGAATTTCAGGGGAGTCCCCGTATTTAAGAGTTTTCTTCTTCAGTAGAAGTTCTTCCAATTTTGAGCAGACTCGGATAAGTACAAGTGCTTCCTTCAGAGCCTGTTGGAATAAATGTCAAAAGTCTATAATAAAAAATACAATAAGCCATGCACACTGCAGACTCATGGAAAATTGGAAATGCTTTGCCAATGTTTCATACTTAATAGTTACTACACAGACATTATAAACTGTAATTGCTATTCGAACTATCCAATTTGAGTATTTGACAATAAGAAACGTGGCCCTGGTCTGTTACCACATTGAGTCAATCATCGAATAGCAGAACACAATAAGAAAAATAACAGGAACAAAGTGTTAAGAGCAAAAACTGGGTTCACCTCTATGGTGGGGGCAGATTCTTTGGAATTCTTTTCATGAACTTCGCCAACATATCCCTTCTTTTCTCTTATATCAACCAGCCTCTTCTTGAGCATTGAGACCTCAGCATCAATTCTGCAGTAGTATGTAGCTTAAGGCCAAGAATTATAGCTTGGGGAAACAGTGTGATTTATCATCTAAAACTCTAACCTGGATTTACATCCATGGAAAGAAGACAGGAAATCAAGTAATATCAGAGGTTTTAATACCTTCCAAGATCAGCATTAACTTTCAGCCCTGTGATTGCTCCTTCAGCAAATTGGAGAAGTTCCTCTCTCTTTGCCTGACAAGAAAAAGAAAGTTTAATACTTTAAATAGAACGTCACAACTAGAATAAATGATCAGCTACACAGGCCATGAGGCTAAAACCTCAATTTTTTACTCCCTCAGTCCCAAACTGTAAGATACATTTACTATTCACTTGGTCAACAAAAATCACTCTTAATCTTTTTCTTTATATATCAAAAGTTTATGAAATTTGTATTATTTTTTGCAGGTTTTGTAGCGGTTTTAATGTAGTTTCTGAATATGTAAATTTTATTTTCTAAAACTAATTTGAGTGTTCACAGGGATCAATTTGTTTTATCGTCGGTCAAACATCGTAAACCGTAAAGTATCTTACAAATTGGGATGGAGGGAGTATTTCTTGTTGAGACAATATATATTTTTAACTGAACAGATATGCTACTATAAAGTCACTACCAACACACTTGCACAGCACATCACTGAAAATTATCGCAAAAAATGTACTACTAGCTATTTTGCTGCATGAGAGCCATCAAAATTTAACAAGTTCCGCAGAATGAAAGTAAAAATTCAAATAGTTTCGTATTGATAGTTAACGTTCAGCCTTTACCAGTACTTCATCTTCATAGCCTGAAAATGCTTTTGAAAGATCCTGTATACTGCTGACTATTGCATTGTGAACTTCTCTTCCTCCAGTAAGACAAAGTCTGCACATAATGATGTTGTTTAGTGTTCTTCCCTGCGTTAATACAACTTTTTGCTAAACCCTAGCGACACTTCCATGGTTAAAATTTAATCATGAAATTGATCGAATTCAATGTATGACACTTTCCAAATCAATCAAATCCAATTGAAAAATACCCGAAGTGCCCTCACTTTGTGTACATTCCAACATTCTATGTGCAAGTGTATTTGGGACATAGTCTTGAACTAAATTTGGTCAATTGGAAAATATTAATTGCTAAATTTGCTCAAAGTAGCCAATAACTGAAAGTGGAAATGTTAATTACAGTCAATAAACTTAAAAATTTAACTCATGAACCCATCCATGATACATCACTTAAAGAGGGAGAGAAAGAAAATGAGATGACAAACATACAACAGAGGAAATTTTAAGAGGTCCAGTGCCGTACATAAAATATTTTGCACTTGGTATTGGTTGTTGTTGGGATCTCATCATTTAATTCTATGAAATACTATCCTCCTGTTTTATTTGCAACACAGGAGACGGGCACATGTTTTAAGAAAGTCTTATAACATTTCATTGTTCCTAGCTTGCCCTTATTTGCACTGTTGATTATCTACTTTTGTTCAGAATGTCTGACAGCAAAACCCATGGGCCATTCTTCTTTCCTTTTCATATCATCTCCTTCATCTTGATTCCCTATTCTTTCCATTGCTGTAAATGTGACGTGAGAGCAGCAACCACCTACCATCATCTATGTTGGCGCTATGATATCCGAAAATTAAAGTGTGTAAGCTATCGGCGGCCCATAGACCTTGAAACCGGTCGGTCAATGCTGGTGAGAGCTCCGGATCCAGAATCTGTAATCAAGCCGGAATGGTGTATGAAGCTGAGGCACTGAATAACTTTAGAGCATTGGCTGCAGTTTTGCAGCGATCGAGGTTGTACAGGGCGTACAGTGGTGAGGACGTCAATGGGCGGCGAGTCATTCTGTTTTCTTCTCTCCCGTCGGTGGCCAAGAAAGTTTGATCGTGAGGGAGGAAAGGGTCGGGTGCAATTTATTCATCTTGAAAGTCCGGCATATTTCATACAAGAATTTATGGCCAAGAAATTGCTTCAAGATATGGATGTATAAAGGATGGAATAGGAGAGAGAGGTGGTTAGCATGGATAATTGAGGCCTTGAGGGTATTGAAGATAATTGCACACTTTTTTATATCTTAAAATAGAAGTGTTGCAATTATTATGAAACTTCCCAAAAAGGAAAGTGTTGCAATTAAAAAGAAATGGAGGAAGTATATGACTAGACAGATGTAATTTAGGTATTAACTACCACACAAATGTAAATTAGGTATCTCACATTTAATTTACAGCATGCATACATGATTTATGGCCCCTTCAAACAACACATTTATTTGTATAATCACATGTAATCACCAATCCTAACTTATCCAATTCTGGTCAATCTATGTTGACTAGAAATACTTTTTTTTACTCAATTAGCATAAAAAAGTTGCTCAAAATTCAAAGTTATAGTTCTAAGCTCAAAACATTCTTCTAACTTCCAAGTTTTTGTTCATGTTAGGCTCGAGTTGAAAGCTAAAATATCAATTCCGAAAAGGCAGGATTCAGACATAATGTTGAAGTTACCTAGTCAGGTTAAACTTTGCTATCCTAGTCTCGTCCTGTAGATATACTGTACACCAAGCTTGAACCATTTCTATATGATTGGCTAGAGGGGGGTGTCGAAAATACGCAACTGTAAGTTTAACAAGTGTAGAATAGCTTGCATGTGTTCATGTTTTAGAGTTTCCACACACAACACATTGGGAGGCCCATATAACTCTTATACAAGGAAGTGTAATCCTTGTCTTATATTCCCTCCATCCCTTAAAACCTTGCCATCTTTCCTTTTTGGATGTCCCAAAAACTTTGTCACTTTCTGGTAAGATCAGAAATAAGAGGCTAAGAATTGAGTGGCTAAACTCTCCTACTTTCTCTCTCACAGTAAGTATCTCACAAATGAGCGATAGTAGAAGCCAAGGGAGAATCTCCAAGTCTGGAATTAATATTAATTCTACACCCACAGCCTGAATAAGGCTAGACTATTTATAAAGAAGGAAATACAGCTGACCCATAACTGACTCATTCATGATCTAATAACTAACTGACACATTAACCGACTCCATCCATGATCTAATAACTGCCCTGGTGGACTGATGCATGACACCAAACCCCACTTATTTCTCTAACTGACTCATTTAAACAAATAAATTACTCCCTCCGTCCCATAATTTACTTCCGTAGTACAAATGGCACACAGATTAAGAAAGTGGGTTTTGTGTGGTGGAGAGTTGTGCAGAGGAGAGAGAAATGTGAAAGAATTGCTGTGAACCACGAATTCTTTGCCAAAAAGGGAAAAGGAAGTTCTTTTTGGGACGGACGAAAAAGGAAAGTTGGAAGTATTTTCAGGGACGGAGGGAGTAATAAATAAATAAATGAAGACTCAGTCAACAATTGTTCCTTGTTTCTTGCGGCTCTGATCTGTCAGCACCCTATCATTACCCCCTCCTTTGAAAGTCGACTTGTCCTCAAGGCGAAATTCAGGAAATTGCTGCACTAAGAACTCATAGTCTTCCCAAGTAGCCTCTTCTGTGGGACGAGCGTGCTGATATGCTGCAGGTATGGGTTGTAACAAACCAGCAGGTGATAATGCTTCATATTTGTTTTTTTGACAAACAAAGCATTGTTGAATGAAAGATTTCACACCAGATTTCATGTGTTGCCAAAAAACAGAACCAGAGAGTCGTTTCAAAGTTTTAAGGAATCCTCCATGACCACTCGAAGCAGTTTCACGTACTGTGATTTTGTTGAAGGCCCGATAGTCCACACACATACGCAATGAATTATTTTTCTTCACCAACAGAACTAGACTTGCAAATGGACGTGAGCTATGACGAATGAACCCTTTGTCGAGAAGGTCATCTACCTGTCACTTAATTTCATTCCTTTGGAAATATGGGTGCTTGTAAGGACTCATGTTGGGAGGTTGAGATATTGGGATCAGAGGGGTGGCATGGAAATGATCTCTGAAAGGAGGCAAAGCTACTGGTTCTGCAATTACAGCTTCAAATTCCATGAACACCCTTTCCATATTAAGTGCGTCAGGAGTCAGGACTAGGTTCCCTAGATGCAGACTCCACTGTGGTCATAAGATTAAAACTAGCAGGTTGACACTCTTTCTTTGGTATTCCCTGTAACTTATATTCCTTCCCATTCACCTGGAAGATGAGGAATATCTCATTCCAATTAGATTGAATGGTATTGAGTGATGCAAGCCATTTAATTCGTAGTATCATATCAGAATCCACAAGGGAAAAGGGATAAAAACCTTGGGTGATGGTCAAACCTGGAGGTTGTACTGAAATCTCCTTGCACACACAGTTGCAACGCACAACATTACCGTCACCCAGCTGAACCCCAATTGTCTGAGTAGAGGAGGTGGCCAAGTCAAGTTCCCTTACTAGTGAATCTGATATGAAATTGTGAGTTGAGCCACTGTCCACTAACAACAATACTTCTTTGTTAGCCAATAAGCCACGCAGTTTCATTGTTGTTGCTGTTGGACTACCCAGGATGGCATTAAAAGAAATCTCGGCATCTATTGTTGGTTCTTGTTCTGTGTCTTTGGCGAATTCCAAAGAGATTGGCATTGAATGCTCATCTTCTACAACTTCCAACAGCGAGAACGTAGTAGAATAGATATGGCTTGGTCGGAATGGGTCCCCACAACGGAAACACAACCCTTTGTCACGACGTTGTTGTTTTGTCGCATCCCATGAACTTGCTGCTTTGGAAGGTGCTGAATATGAGGCGGCGCCCGAATTTCCTGGTATCACTTCCTTATCATGTGCAGATGCAGCGCTACTTTGAGTAAGATTGGGAAAGGGCCTATTCTAGAGGTATACGAATTGGGCCTGGTTCCTTTCCCTTGGGCCAATTTTTTCTCAAACTCAAGGGCTAAACTGGCGGCTCTGTACACGGACATGGGCTTGTGTATCCTCACCTCTGATCAGATGTCTTCTGGGAACCCATTTAAGAAAACCCCAAGGAGGCAATGCTCCGGCCAGTTTGTGACACATGCTACTCGACGCGCCCAGTCTTGCCGATATTCATGTACGCTACCCGTCTGATGGATGTTGCATAGATGTTCGTCAGGATTCAAGTACTCCGGCGGCCCAAAATGTTCATTGAATGTGCGCACCAGTTCATCCCAGTAGAGCGGCGTGCGTTCAGTGTTTATCCAGAAGAACAAGTCCAAAGCGTCACCTTCTAGATGCATCACAGCCACTTCCACTCGGTCATCCTCTGCAATCGCAATATTATTTGAAGAACTTTTCAGCCTTTAGCACCCACCCTCTTGGGTCGCCGCCGTTGAATTTGGGGGAATCAAGCCTTGCAAATGGAGGACGAGGTCTATGAATTTCCTCCTCTTCATCCACATCGTTAGCCCAGTTCCTCTTTTTCTTTCCTTTGTGCTCCTGCAACTGAATCTCTAGTGCCGAAATCTTCTCTCGCAATTCATCCAGCAAGTCTAGCTTAGCCGCAATGGCCGTCAATGGGTCGATGTCTCCAAGGTTGTCGCCAGTGGAAGAACGTGTGGTCACCATGATTGATCAGAACGTATCTCTGATACCAAATGGTAAGATCAGAAATAAGAGGCTAAGATTTGAGTGGCTAAACTCTCCTACTTTCTCTCTCACAGTAAGTATCTCACAAATGAGCGATAGTAGAAGCCAAGGGAGAATCTCCAAGTCTAAAATTAATATTGATTCTGCACCCCCAGCCTGAATAAGGCTAGACTATTTATAAAGAAGGAAATACAACTGACCCATAACTTACTCATCCATGATCTAATAACTAACTGACACATTAACTGACTCCATCCATGATCTAATAACTGCCCTAGTGGACTGATGCATGACACCAAACCCCACTTATTTCTCTAACTGACTCATTTAAACAAATAAACAATAATAATAAATAAATGAAGACTCGGTCAACAATTGTTTCTTTTTTCTTGCGGCTCTGATATGTCAACACCCTATCACTTTTCCTTTTAATCAACTATTTTTGTGATTCCTTTTATTTCTCTCCTCTGCAAAAATCTCAACCACACAGTCAAACTTGGCAAAGTTTTAAGGAACAGATGGGGTATCTTATTGTATTCTATTTCAACAATACTTTTGTTCTACATAATTTTGTTTCCACCATGTAGTGGGTATGTATGAGGCTTGTACTACAAGTGTCTGTACTAGTGTAAAGAGGACTAAGAGTTCCCTATTACTATCGGAGTGCACCAACGATTGGTTTTGAGTCCTTTCTTATTTGCAATAGTCATGGATGAACGTACAAAGTCAATTCAAAAAATATACCGTAGTGCATGATGTTTGCCGACGATATTGTATTGATTTATGAGACACAATCTGGTGTTAAAACAAAGTTGAAAGTATGTCGAGAAACTTTAGAGATCAAGGGTTTCAGACTGAGTCGAAGCAAGACCGAGTATATGGAATGCAAATTTGGTCGAGGTAAAAGTAGTAGTAAGAGTGGGATTATCCTTGATGGCAAAGAGATACCGGTGTGTGATATGTTCCGTTATTTGGGCTCTATAATTCTGAAGGATGGTGAATTAGATGGAGATGTATCCCAGAGAATCAGAGCAAGGTGGATGAAGCGGAAGAGTGCATCAGGATTTCTATGTGATCGAGGTATGTCGACTAGACTCAAAGGTAAATTTTATCGGACAGCAATAAGGCATGCACTAATGTATGGCTTAGAGTGTTGACGGTGAAACAATGTCATATTCAAAAGATGAGTGTGGCGGAGATGCATATGTTACGTTGGATGTGTGGACATACCAAAAAAGGCCGCTTCAGGAATGAGATAATCAAACAAAAGGTGGGAGTAGCACCTATAGAAGATAAGATGCAAGAGTCTCGATTGCGGTGGTTTGGTCATGTGTGTAGAAGACCGGATGATGCACTTGTTAGACGAGTTGAGAGCTGCAGAGAAAAGGCGGGTAAGAGGGGGAGGGGAAGACCCAAACAAACTTGGATTAGATGAATCAGAACTGATATGCTTCTTCTGGGGTTGGAAGAGAGTATGACTTTGAACAGAGCAAAGTGGAGAGCGCATATACGTGTGGACGATTAATCTCTTTCTTCCTTTTCTCTCTCTTTCTTTTATGTTTTATTTTATTTATCATTCTATGTTCTTATGTCATTTTCATCTTTTATTTGTCTTATGCCCTTTATCTCTTTTATCTTTTATCTATCTTATGTTCTTATGTTATTTTTTTTACCTTATCGTTTTATTTTTCTTATCTTTCTTCTCTTTTTGGAATCTGATAACATGGATCGAATCATGTTAGTCGACCCCAAAATCTTTTGGGAATAACGCTTGGATGTTGTTATTGTTGTATGTAATGGGTAGCTAGTTAACACCAACAGCTAGCCACATTCTATTTAATAGGTTTCTCTTATCTCCAGAGAATCCTTAAGAGTTTAAATGTCAAATGCATGTGTATATTTCGAACAACCAAAGCATATTTCCGTTAAGTTACAATAGATTCCCTCCGTCCCGAATTGTAAAACACTTTACGATTTACGATGTTTGACCGACGATAAAGCAAACGGATTCATGTCCGCGCTCAAATTATTTTTAGAAAAAAGAGGGGAGATTTCCCAAAATAGGAGTAAATGAAGTTTGAAATTCCAAAATAGGACTACTTTGTTTTTATTCCCGAAATGGGACTAACATGGCAGTATTTACTGTCATCTTGTAGCCGTGACTGCCAAATAGTTGCAGTACAGTGCATTTAACATGACAGTATTTATTATAATTAATGACAGTATTTTTCAATCATGGCAATATTTTTCATACATGACAGTAATAACTCCTATTTCGGGAAGAAAAACATATTAGTCCTATTTTTGGAATTCCAAATGTCATTTGCTCTTATTTTGGGTAATTTCCCAAAAACAAGTTACATATTCAGAAACTATATTAAAAGTTTTACGAAGTCGCGAAAACCAGAATCTAATTTGATAAAAAGTTGATATATAAATTAAGAGATTAAGAGTGATTTGTGTTGACCAAGTGAATAGGAAAAGTATCTTACAAAATGGGACTGAGGGAGTATCAAGTAATAAAAACTGAAAAGTGAATTAGTAGACTTACCCAAACATTTCAAGTAGGAGAGAAACTTCTTCTTCATTTGGTGCTTCAAGAATCTGAATGAAAAAGGGTTAGGATATAGTTACCATTGAGGCTCGACAATTTACAGCTAAAGGTTAATAAATTACATTCAAAAACGGGACGCCGAATATGGACAAAGAAAAAAGAACTAACACTCTTTTAATGAGGAGATAATACTTCGGTAAATCTCATGGCTAAATTACGTAAAGTTTGTGCATAACCTAATTTGTAGAAGACAAATGAAACTAATTACAATACTTTGGCAACCCTGGAAAGAAGAAACAATCTTTATGACATACCATACATATAGATATGCCCTCCAAAGCTTGACTGTAAAGGAAAACATCCCGAAAATTCATTGGTTCGCCACCCATCTCCGAGTCATAATACAACACCTATCAATAATAAGGCATTAGAACAAGTACTCTAATGGGAATCTGACCATTAAGCAAGACGGTAAAGATGTCAAGAGTAAAACTGCTACCCATATTAAGAAGGATGTGACATTATACTTTCTGTAGTAGGGCTAAATGAAATACAAAGAGATCTCTTATTGAGCAATAGGTGAAGGGAGTCACCCATAACAACAATGCAGGAACATTCACACAGCTTTTTTCAAACAGTTGATTCAATTGATAGATTAAACTAGAAAAGGAGTATGGGGTACACTGTAAACAAGAAAACAAGCTCAAATATTCTGACTTTTCCTTCTCGGATAAACAAACCCGAGGTTGAAAGAAAGAAACAAGACAACCCAAGATAAAGGATAATATCCTTTGTAATTGATTGGGTTTTGCATTATATAACCAGAAAACTAGTCAAAAAACTGAGAGCTTTTGATGTGAAAAAATGGCACCAAATTGTTCTACTCACTAGAGATTGTTTTCTTGGGCTTCCTTTTGGTTCCTCTGATGGAGAGTTCTCCTCATTATTTTTCTCCTTATCATCAATGGGGTCTTCAGATGCCTTTTCGATCTCTTTTAACACTGCTAACCATCTCTTCATTAACTGAACTCGCTCTGTTCCCCTACAGGAAACAGATGCATCTTCCAATCTTTTAACGGCCTGTTTAAAGCTTTTGAAGTTCCTATTTGTCTGACGTGACCACATGATACAGAAAGTAAGAAGTAAGGGTCAAGAGTAAGAAAAATAATCAGTCGATACTAAGCAATCATAAGCCTTAAACTCAATCACACGCACAAGAGATGCACTAAACAAAAACTGAGGTTACTTCAATTTCCTCCCGTGTGACATTCAGATCAAATCATTTGGGGTGTCGAGAAATTATAGATCACGTTATGGTTAACTGTTCAGTCACTTCAGTTTCCTTCAGCTGTTAGCCTCATTACTAGCCTTTTAAGAACTTGAGGAGTACTGTGTAAGAGGTAGAGCAGTGGGAAAAGAAGCAACTTTGTGTAACCTAAGTACCTAATCCTTTAAGATATACAGAAACTCAAAACCATGAATCTTCTATAGTTGTGAAAAACAGTTCAAACACATTTTTAGACACCCTTAGTCATATGCTTCTTCTTTTCACCCTTAGTCATATGTACTTCCATGGGCAGTGGGTTTCTATTCTGAACAGAACACTGTGACAACAAATTAGGGGGTGCTTGAACATGGCTAAGGAACAGACTAACATAGAAAGCCAACAAACTGTTACAGACATAGCCCAACTAAGATCAGAACAAGGCCATAAGTCCAGGTGTAGAACTCACTCCCAAAAGACTAGCCAATTAGGATGAGGGGACACCTAGCTTATAAGCCACCGATCAAGCCCATACTTGATCGGTGTGGGATCATTAAAATACCTCACGCTTTGAAGAGCCAACGTCCTCGTTGGTCATGGTTGTCACCCCAGGGCCCAAGCCACAACTCCATAGGGCATCACTCCGAGTGTTGGGACAGAGAAGATGGGGACGGCTCTGATACCAATTGTTACGGACCTAGCCCATACTAGGCCCAGAACAAGGCCATAAGCCTAGGTATAGAACTCACTCCAAAAGACTAGCCAATTAGGAGGAGGGGACACCTAGCTTATAAGCTACTGATCAAGCCCATACTTGATCGGTGTGGGATCCTTACACAAACATTACTAAATCGTTCTCTTCTACTAGCCCAACAAGAATGCTAGCCCTGACACCAGTACGCATCCCATTACAGATTTTCAAATATAAGCACTGAAAATATGCTGCTTCCAATGCCTCATGAACAATGCGAAGCTCCAAAAATGATGAAAAAATACAAAACAAAATTGAGAGAAATATGCTTTACCGCACGAAATTTGACTGTGAAAATAGTCTTATTCAGCCATTAAAAATCCTATATAAGGGTTCGACAATCATTCTGGTGAGTAAATACTAACGCTAATCAAGAAATGCTGGTGAAATTCAGTGCACACACTTAATCAGTTTCTCAGACATCACCCTAGAAATATTCTTCTGGTAAAAACGAAGACTGATAGTTTAGAAATTACAATACGATCCTGGAGGATTTTGGCGCCCTCGGCGACGGCGTGGCCGGCATGTTGGACGACGGTGTCTGCGTAGTTTTTCACGGTGCGCGTGAGGTTGTTTTTAGTCCCAACCTCCGCGGCTTTGTTCATCGCCGATCTGAACCAGGACATTGTTTTTATGTATCGATCAGATACCAGACTGATTCACTTGGGACATTCAATGCAAGCGTTGAGCTTGGAGGATCGCCTGTTTAATCCTCAAATGCGACTAAATTGAGTCAACTACTTGGATAACTGTCAAACTTCGATAAGTGAGACTATCTCAAGTATCTCGTAAATGAATCTAAAAATTGTGCGATTAAAATTAGGGTGTCAGGACAGTTCCCGTAGTTTTGCACAATTTTTTTTTAAAAAATCGCATGAACAGTACATGCGTGTACAGTAACTGTTTTTTTTCTTTTTGTCCCAGTAACATGAATGATGTAACTCGCGCGTAAAGAAATGTAACTCACGTTGATGAGAAATGTAATCGCAGGTCAGTCAAAATGTAACTTGTCCAATACGAAGCATAAGAAATAAAACATTGATTTCAATGTAAACAATGAATAAAAAGAGTCTAATTGCTCAATTATTTATGCAAATGGTGAATATATATTTTGTTTTTTATATCATGACAATAAAAATGATTTTTTAAATTTTTTTTGTTTTAATAGTAGGAGTTAATTTTTGGGTGTAACTCATGTTATTACACATGTAACTCACGTATTAAACTATGTAACTCGCTTATAAAAAGATGTAACTCGGTGTATTATCAAATGTAACTCAGGATATAAGATTACAGAGAGTATATTTTAACCTTAATTATATGTGGTTTGATATAAAATAACTGAGTTTGAAATTTAGAAGGGGCATTTTCGATCTTCCATTGATCCACTCCCAAACAGATTCGATCATCTATTTAACAAACCTATCATCTCTCTGCAATCTGTATCCTTCTCAGAGCGATAAAAAAATTAGTCTGCAGCGCCACCACAACATGAAGATCAGAATGGAAACGGAAGGGAATAGAAGTTGTCTGGCTTCCCAGGGTTACTCTGCTTTCCAATTGCAAACTAACTTTCCTTTTATGTGGTCACTTTTAGGTGAAAATTGGACCACATAATTTCAATGTTTATTTGTGTGCCAAGACTTGAGTGGAGCTTCAAGGTTCCTGAAGCTTGAACGGATGGAGGAAGCAGAGTTCGTAGATCAACAGGAAGTGGAACGGAGTGGGAAATAAAAACAAAGCTCCGCTCTCTTTTTTTTTACCGTAAACGACACCGTATGGGGATCGGCACACCATGCGCATGGTGGGCCGATCCCACGGTATAATTTGCAGTGTCAGTAGGTTTGGTTTCGTAGCTTTAGGTTTTAGTGGGTGTCATTTTTTAGTAGGTCATTTAAGATCGGTTTCGGTTTTTAGTCGATCGATTTTAACGACTTTTAGGATAGATGAAACCAGGAATCGGACAGCAAAACTCAAGTTGTCTTGATCAATTTGTATCGTTTTCGGTCTATTTTAGCCGTTTTTGCCAGGTTTTGTTGGTCAATTTTCGTATGACCAATTTTTTAAGCCAAAAGTATGAACCCTAAACCGAATAACCGATTGATTAGTCACTTCCGATCGGTTTCGATTTTATCGGCTCGATTTTGGTCGGTCTTGGCTTTGGTCGGTCGGTTTTGATTTTTCATTTTTTTTGTTCACCCCTAATTAAAAGGAGAAAAACATGAGTTTTTTTCCCGAATTGATGCTAATTAAATAAATAAGGGACATTGGTCGTAAATGTCAGGAAAAAACAGGGAATATGCTTACGTAGGACTCCAAGTACTTTTAAGCATACATATGACTAAATTTCAGTGTTATTCCTATTCTACCCTTAGTGAAGTGTTCGCACCAGTCAATTCCCCAAAGCCCTAACCCCATCTTTTGTTTTAATTTCATCGATGAATTTTCTCCAAATATTCCTGCGTGACGGACGACGATCTATTGGACGACAAGTGAGGTTATGAAATACGATGGCAACGAACGGAAAACTCCATTGACGACAGTGAGATGGTGACACAAGATGACTGCAAATGTTTGATGGAAAAGGTCATATTGTTTCCTCTTCTAAGCACCTCTCTTATGTTTCATCTTTTCATCGTTGATCCAGAGCTCTTTTCGTATTTAGCCTTTAAAAATCCAAACTTAATCTGAAAATGTCATCAAAATTACATTCTTACACTTCACAAATTCCATATTTCCCTCTGAAAATGACATTCATATGGCATTCTCGATTCATGCTGGCATTCTGGTGATAATAGTGGCATAAGCGGCGGGGTCAGCCAGATCTACAACAATCGGGTCTGAACCTGCAACAGCGGAGCTCGGATCTAAAGTGGTGGCGGCCAAATCTTCAGGGCCGGCGACCGAGGGTGGCCAGATCTGGCCAGATCTACGGAGGCGGCAACCAAATCTGCAGAGACAACGATTAGATCTGTAGCGGTAGTGGACATATATGTAGCGGTAGTGGACATATATGTAGCGGCAACAAGTTTTGCAGTGGTGGCGGCGGCCGGCGATGGTCTGGGGTTTGTCGGCGGTGGTTAATTTTGGCAAGCTTCAAGGGTACATCTGTTCAACTACAAATAATAATTCCTATTTGGAGAAATTTTAAACTTTGCTCCTATTTTAGCAATTAAAGATTTTATTTACTCCTATCTTGATAAATATCCCAATAAATAATTCTTAAAATATTGATAGGTTAAAAATAATTTCCAAATTACCGCTGGCTAAACCGTGGTTAAGGAAAGCCACCGCTTCAAGTGGAGGTTCTATAAGTCCCTACTCCTACTCACCGCTCATTAACGAAACACGGTCCTCTTCCTCTCAAACAAGCTCACCCCTGCGACTGTTGCGAGAAGAACAGTGACAACTATTCGTATTTCTGTCGGAAATCGTCTCAAATAACTGTGAAATCAAGGGGAAAGGGACACGGTGTACCCGAGGTCATTTGTGTTCCATTCTATCGACTTTCAACCGTTTGAATCGAGGTATTTCACCATTTTTTGCTAAAGCTACTTTTTTTGTTCGAAATTGCTATGTTTTTGGATTATTTGCTTTCTATTTGATGTTATGAAATATATAAGTTGTTGTTGTTATTAGTATGCTTGATTTTATATAATTTGTAGGAATGAATTATTTATTGTGTTAGTTGGATTGAATTTGATACATGGGTTCGTTTGTGAAAGAGTAATGTAACATATTATTAATATGTATTTATATGATTTTTATATGAATGAAATCATAAAAATGAGATATATGATTTGATTCAATTTGTTTGAATGAAAGTAATTGTAGTTGAATTTTTAATGTGCGGCATACGTCATAGTTTTTTTGGAATGAAATATTAGTAGAATATGAACACTCCAAATAACTTGTCCTACTATTTGCAACGTTGTTAATTGTTGGGGTTCCGAACCGCAACAAATAGTCTAAAATGACCACAACAAATAGCATTTTTCTAGTAGTGATGAGACAAATAATGAATTTATTTCTAACTATCTTGATAATGTGAAATTTATCAATGCCATTAATGGGCAGAGGTCAGAGGATAATATGTGTATATATTTTCAAAAAAAAATGTAATTTTTAATATTTATAAATACGCCCCCATAATTTTTAAGAGTTTTTGCCACTTTTGATCCTCCGATTATTATGTCATTGACACTTTTGGTACTAGACTTTGGTTTTTTCCACTTTTAGTCCTTCACTATTGTGTTAGAGACACTTTTGGTACCCACATATGCGTATCCTACTTTTTTGGTTTTGTCGTATCCCCGTCATACCTGTTTCCACTTTGCATTTCCGCGTACCCGTATCGGTGCTACATAGGGTTCAAGTTCATAATTTGCCTATGGGTTACTTTACTATGAAAGTTGCTAAACTTGTTGATATTGAACAAAGTTAGTTTAAAGATTCATGAAGACCATATATGAGGTTGTGAGTTGGTCTGGACAGAAGGAAACCTTCGAGACGAAAAGTGAAGTTGGGAAAAGATGAGAGAGTGGTTCTGGGTGGATTTAAAGTATGAGAAACTCCCGATTTTTTGTTTTATTTGTGGTCTGATTGGTCATGTTGGTTGATTTTTAATTTCCTCGGGCGTATAACAAGGGAGGTGGAGAGACAGTCAAGACATATGGTCCGTGGCTTCGAACATGGAGTGGTAGAGGTAGGGTGATGGGGGGAATAAATGGTTAGTTAGAGATGGTGCACATGCAACTGCTCGTGTGGAGCATAATGGCGTAATGACTAGTGGGGTATTTGCAGATGGTATAGTTGGCGAGGTTCAGGGTGTGATTCAGTTGTGGTTCTGGTGTAAGGGGGTTTCACAGTGTTTGAAAGCGGGAACATCAACTGCTAGCCGCTTGGGAGAGCCAAAGAGGAGGTCGTGTGTCTTAGAACCAAGAACATGAAGATCCGATTGAAGGCGCTATGATTGTAGGCAACCAAAAAACGTGGAAGAGGCGGGCCTAGGGCTCTAGACTCACCTAGGTCTTATCCGAAAGTTTATTTATTTAAGTACTTTTCTTTTGTTGTTATTCGTTCGTATATGGATTTTAGTTTCTATTTTTGTCGTATTGTTTTTGCCTAGGATGTCTTTTATTTGGTTTTTATCTTTGTTATGTGTCAAGCTCAGATTGATCATAGTTGACTTGCATGTGCCCATTTGTGGATTAACAGGTCATATTGCTCCTGAGTGGATTATTGACTCAGAGTCTGGTCCTATGGATGGACACGGGCTGGGCCAGTTTCGGTTCGGGCCTAGGCCCGGCCGGGCTTTTTTTTGGGAATGGGTGAACCCGAACCAGCCCGGGTAGTCGGCGGTTCCGGGCCGGTTCTGGTTCAATTTTTTTTTGATTTCTTATTTATTTCACCCCCACCCCTCAAACCCCTCGGAAATACCCAACCCAACTAAACCCAGCCCAAACCCAAAAAACAAAAGAAAACAAAAATGGCCCGAATCGGGCCCCGCCCGGCTCGGCCGGTTTACTAAATTGAAGGCCCGTACCCGCCCAGCCCCAATCCCCGGGCCGGGCCTAGGCCCAGAACCGGTTACCCAAGACCGGGTCGGGCCGGTTCACGGGTCGGGCAGCCCGGGCCCGTTCCATCCCTATCTGGTCCAAGGGCGTATGATCGGGCTATTTGTTTGGTCTTACTGACTTGTTTATAGGGTCCGGCCTTGATGTCACATAGTTGGAGTATG